CACGAAGCTCTTCTCTCGTGAGCCCAGCTTCTCGAGCGAGTTCCACGGCTTTCTTGCGAATGGTGTCCACGATCACTGGCAGCGAGCGCGCACGAACTTTCCGCACAAAGTCCGCTAGCTTATCTTCCAGCTGCGGATGAACGGCACTTCGTCCACGAAACGACATTTTTCGAGGATTGCACATCTGCAGCTTCCCTTTCTGCGCCCTCCAATAGCGCACGCTTTTTTCTGATACACCAAAGCGGCGCGGAGCAGCCATATTCCCGTTCGCTTCTGTGAACTTAACATCTAGTTTAAACGGTGGCGTTTTTTTTTTTAACGCCACCGAAAAATAGCTAATATCTTCTTTTAGAACACAACAGTCCGGTTTTTTCCGTGTAAAAATTATTTTGATAGCTTAAGGTAACTGGAAGATACAGAGTTAGAAAGAATATAACGAAAACCGCTAATGAACGTGGGGTGCCCGCGTCTTCCCTCGCTCAGAGGAGGAGGGTGGCTCACTGCTCGGGAGAAAGGTACGCCCGTCAGATCAAAGTCTTGAACCACGTGTTTTTTTTTTTTTCCCTTACGATCGCTTTTAACTTTGCTAATAACCTACCGGGAAAATTCTAACTCATACAGTGCAAAGCCCTAATTGTAGACCTGTCGCCGCTCAGGTTTCATCAGGACAGGAGTAATAGTACCGGAACTATTTCGTGACCAAAATTAATCCTAATCACTAAAAAGATTAATTTGGTAACATCACCTCACAAACGAATTTAAATTTTGTCCGCTTAATATATCAATAAACAGCACCCCATAGGCTAATCGGAGGCCCAACTCCGTACTCTCTAGACCCTTAATTAAGGGTGTAATCAGCAGAAATCTCATTTCATTAAAACATTTTTATAAAAATAACAACAAACTTGACTGATACACCGCTGAAACTTACATTTAGAACATAACAATCCGGGTGCGGCGATGGCGTAGTGGTTAGAGCATCCGCCTCGCATGCAAGAGGTCCGTGGTTCAAATCCCGGTGCCCCGCAGTTCCCAACCGGAAAAAAAAAAAAAAGTCCGCGTGCTGATGGAACTGCATTAAGAGGCCTGGGGTGCGGCCTCACCGGTAACCACCGCCGGGAACGCACTCCCTCACCATAGGATTGGCCACCCTGGTGCAGTATCTGGCCACTACCTCCCACATGCATACGTCAAATAACTCACGGCCCTCAGTTCCCAGCAGCTGCGAAGCAACTGACCATGGCGGCGGTCAGATCTGCAACGCAGCAGAGGGTGCTAAGAATCTCTGGACTACAGGTCGCCTTTGGAACCTGAACTTGGCAACGTTTAACGCTAGAACCTTATCTAGTGAGGGAAGTCTAGCTGTACTATTCGAGGAGCTAGAGGGTGTTAAATGGGATATAATAGGGCTCAGTGAGGTTAGGAGGACAGATGAGGCATACTTTGCTATCGGGGCTTGGCAGACAGAAGAGAACTGGGAGTGGGGCTCCTAATTCACAGAAACATAGCTGGCAACATAGAGGAATACTATAGCATTAATGAAAGGGTGGTAGGTATCGTAATTAAACTGAATAAAAGATACAAGATGAAGGTAGTACAGGCTTACGCGCCTACATCCAGCCATGATGACGCTTCAGTTGAAAGCTTCTATGAAGACGTGGAATCGGCAATGAGTAAGTTAAAAACACAGTATACTATAGTGATGGGCGACTTTAATGCAAAGGTAGGGAAGAAGCAGGCTGGAGACCAGGCAGTAGGAGATTATGGCATCGGCACTAGAAACGCCAGAGGAGAGCTACTAGTAGAATTCGCAGAACGCAATAATTTGCGGATTTTGAATACTTTCTACCGAAAACGAGAAAACCGCAAGTGGACATGGAGGAGCCCTAATGGCGAAAATAAGAACGAAATAGACTTTATAATGACTGCACACCCAGGAATCGTGCAGGATGTGGAAGTAGTTGGCAAGGTACGGTGCAGTGACCATAGAATGGTACGGTCTCGAATTCTCCTAGACTTGAAGAAGGAACGACAGAAACTGATACGCAAGAAGCCAATCAATGAGCTATCACTGAGAGGGAAAGTACAGGAATTCAGAGTGTCGCTGCAGAACAGGTACTCGGCTCTTAGTGAGGAAACCAACCTTAGCGTAGATACAATGAATGATAATCTAACGAGTATCATTACGGAGTGTGCAGTGGAAGTTGGAGGCAGGGTAGTTAGACAGGACACTGGCGGCAAGCTTTCCCAGGAAACAAAGAACCTAATTAAGAAGCGTCAAAGCATGAAAGTGTCAAGTACAACAGACAAAATAGAACTGGCGGAGCTTCCAAAGTTGATTAATAGGCGTAAAGTATGTGATGTAAGAAGGTATAACATGGAGAGAATTGTACACGCTCTGAAAAACGGAGGAAGCGTCAAAGCAGTGAAGAGGAAACTTGGGATAGGCAAAAGTCGGATGTATGCACTAAGGGACAAAGAAGGCAAAATAACTACCAATATGGATAGGATAGTTAAAATAGCATAGGAGTTTTACAGAGATCTGTACAGTAGCCGAGACAACCACGACCTTAATACTATAAGAACTAGCAGTAACCCAGATGACACCCCACCAGTAATGATAGAAGAAGTCAGAAAAGCTTTGGAGAGCATGCAAAGAGGCAAAGCTGCTGGTGAGGATCAGGTAACATCAGATCTGCTGAAAGATGGAGGACAGATTGTGTTAGAAAAACTAGCCACCCTGTTTACGAGGTGTCTCCTGACAAGAAGGGTACCAGAGTCTTGGAAGAACGCTAACATCATCTTAATGCATAAGAAAGGAGATGACAAGGACTTGAAGAATTACAGGCCGATCAGCTTGCTCTCTGTAGTATACAAGCTATTTACAAAGGTAATTGCTAACAGAGTGAAGAAAACATTAGAATTCAATCAACCAAAGAAACAAGCAGGATTTCGAACAGGCTACTCAACAATTGACCACATTCATACTATCAATCAGATAATAGAGAAATGCTCAGAGTATAACCAACCACTATACATAGCCTTCATAGATTACGAGAAGGCGTTTGATTCAGTAGAAATATCAGCCGTCATGCAGACACTGCGGAATCAGGGCGTAGATGAAGTATATATAAACATTCTGGAAGAAATCTACAGGGGATCAACTGCTACCATAGTGCTTCATAAAGAAATCAACAGAATACCAATCAAGAAGGGTGTAAGGCAGGGGGACACAATCTCCCCAATGCTATTTACCGCGTGCTTACAGGAGGTTTTCAGAAGCCTAGAATGGGAACAGTTAGAAATAAGAGTTAATGGAGAATACCTTAGTAACCTGCGCTTCGCCGATGACATTGCATTGCTGAGTAACTCAGGTGACGAATTGCAACTCATGATTACGGAGTTAGACAAGGAGAGCAGAAAGGTTAGTCTTAAAATTAATCTGCAGAAAATGAAAGTAATGTACAACAACCTCGGAAAGGAGCAGCGCTTCGAGATAGGTAATAGTGCACTTGAAGTTGTAAAAGACTATGTCTACTTAGGGCAGGTAATAACCGCAGAGCCTAACCACGAGATTGAAGTAACTAGAAGAATAAGAATGGGGTGGAGTACATTTGGCAAGCACTCTCAAATTATGACAGGTAGATTGCCACTATCCCTCAAGAGGAAGGTATATAACAGCTGTATCTTGCCGGTGCTTAGCTACGGAGCAGAAACCTGGAGACTTACAAAGAGGGTTCAGCTTAAATTGAGGACGACGCAGCGAGCAATGGAAAGAAAAATGGTAGGTGTAACCTTAAGAGACAAGCAGAGAGCAGAGTGGATTAGGGGACAAACGGGGGTTAAGGATATCATAGTTGAAATAAAGAAGAGGAAATGGACATGGGCCGGGCATGTAGCGCATAGACAGGATAACCGCTGGTCATTAAGGGTAACTAACTGGATTCCCAGAGAAGGGAAGCAGGTTAGAGGGAGACAGAAGGTTAGGTGGGCAGATGAGATTAAGAAGTTTGTGGGTATAAATTGGCAGCAGCAAGCACACGACCGGGTTAACTGGCGGAACATGGGAGAGGCCTTTGTCCTGCAGTGGACGTAGTCAGGCTGATGATGATGATGAGTTTAAACACAGCTGAGTACTGCCTCCTCGCACCACTAGACATATTCAGTGAACGAAATAAAAAAGACCACTAAAAATGCAGCCCAATGTCAAGCGGAGCGAAAACTCGGAACAGATCAGAAGCAAATCATGAACACAAAGAAAATGGACTCCGATTGGATATGGATGCGGATATGGCCGCGTCTGGCTTCACAAGCCCATGCAAGCCATATGTTGCCAGACAGCGTTGCACTATCGGCTAGGCACCGCTATATAAGACGAGGGGCGACTTTAGCTTAATATTTTATTGAAAAAATCTCGACTTATATTCCGGTTTATACGATAGTTGCATGTTAGCCGGCATACAATTCCTGTAAAGGTGGTTTCATTGCGACAGAGGGGTGCTAAGCCATGAAAGCACCTGTCTAAATGTATTTGTCTGCATGTAACCATTTGTAAAGGTGGTTTCACTGCAATAAAAAAGTGCTAAGCCGTCAAAACACATACCCAGGAGAAATTCGACTGCCGCGAAGCTTCATTTCATGGTTAAATGAACATACTACCCTTACATCAAATCATCATTTTTTAAGTTAAAAAGGTTGTTTTATAGGCCTATATACTCGAAGTGTAGTAAATTTTAAACATAACACATTACATATTTTACAGGTCATCGCTTGCATTCTCCCAAAAGTCAAATCCTGCTTCTATTCCAAATTGTTCCTTCTTTGTTTGAAGAAAAACAACAATGATAATATGTTATATACATACTATTCGAATTTGATTTGAAATATTTGACCAAAATCACTATTCACTTCAAATTCGCTTTGAAACTAAAATTCACTATTCGCGCAAGCCTAGTCAAAAATAAAAGTCGCTGAATCAAGCTTTACCTTTCTGGTTTCAGGGCAAGTGTGCTCCGTTTGGGACCGAGCGACACCGCTGCCCGTCCTGTACAAGTCCGGCGACGGCGTGACATCCACGAAGGCACCTTCCTTCGTGGTCTCCGAGCCCGAAGTTGCAGACATGCTCTCGCTAGTAATTGAAACCAATGCGGACCATTCGCAAGGCGTGAAGGTGGGACATCAGTCTTCGATTGTGATTCGGTGTCAGTGTCTTGTGAAGGAATTAAAGGAGCTTTAGGCTGTCATTGTTTAATGTCTTCATGACACTGATGCATGCAGCCATTCTCATTTTATCGTTGCAGCTGAGTGTAGACCTGTTAAAACATAATCAGTGTCGGCTAATGTTGGTTAAGTAATGGATAATGTTGTCTAGTTTTGCTGTATGTTCCTTAAGTTATGCAATTGTGAAAGTAATTCCACACACGCTCATTTCCGTGCTATCATTAGCTACATAACTGAAGCTTGGCGTAGGTCGTGTCGAAATACATGGGAAGCTTCCTCATCGTTGTAGATAGTGCTGGTTATATTTTGCGCACGATGCGAGCAGTTGGGCTTCATCTAAACTAAGGCAAGCAGCAATAACACTGGAATGTTCGATTAGACATTCATTAAAGCCTGCTACATTTCACAAACGATTAGATGGACGATGACTGATGATTGTGTTCAACGCTGTCGTCTCACTCGGTGTGTCGCTTCACTTTCTGGGCACCAGTTCATTTAACAAAATGTTTCATCTTTACGTGCCTGTGTTCCTGTCAGGAATGGTACAGCTGTGCCAAGTTGCACCAAAACTGGAGGACTTCCTCAAATTGCACCACGCTGCTCCAAAATGCAGAACGCAGAAAGCGACAATCATAAATTCGATATCCATCCAGTTTTAGCAGAACCTAACAGTGGTGTAAAATACTGATTCTGGTTTATCCGGGTATTGAATGTAATGTTCCGGGTGAAACTGAAACCAGGAAATGTAGGTCTAACATAAAATTAGTACGTCTTCGTTTTTACGGCGCTACAGTCAACATCCGATTTCCCGGACCCTTAGAAGACCGCAAAAATGTTCGAAAAATCAGGTAGTCCAGGAAAATGAATGCAAGCAAAAACGTACATTTTTAATAGGTATGTTGCGCCTACGGAGAGAGTCGCGGCAGGAGTACAAGATTCTCATTGCAATTCAGTAAATGCATTTTTTAAGTGACTCTGAAAACAGCCATGACATTCGATGTGGTATGTATGGCAAATGATATGGTGTGGTAAAATATTAGATATATAGAAAAAACAAAAATTCAATGTGGCCGACAGTAATGGCTCCAAAGATCTATTTTTTTTTTCCTCTGCTCCAAATGCTGCTGCAAAATCTATATGAGCTGTGCCAACCCTGTCATGTCCTTCTTTGTCATGACTGTGTGACAACACTATCGGACAACTCCCAAAGAGGCTTTGTCTGCTACGAATTTTAGTCTTTTTTTTCTTTTCTGCAGACAATCAAGGTAGCATTGGGGGTGAGCGACACCACCCTGAGACACCGAATGACACCATTTAGACGCAGCTGGGTCAAGCAGTTTGTCGACTTTTTCGACGTGATCGACGAAGAAGTTCTTGGCTACCAGCCGCTCGGCGTGGTCACAGAGTTTCACCTGACCCTCTCCAACTGTGCCATCGACTACAGGTCATTGCTCTTTCACATACTTCGGGAGTTTCTTGGAGACATTTATTTCCGGCTGGTCCTTCTGAACGCTTCTTAGCCGTGCTACTTGAAAACATACTGGGTGCCTTAAAGCTTGATTATCTGGCTGTCAACTTTTACTTTATTACAGTTATTGGATTTGGTGTATTCCTCCAACTATTAAGAATAAGGTAGTTCCAAATGTGAATTATTCTTTATTAGGCAAACTTGTGCAGAGAAAGATGTTGGACCCAAAATATTGCTCGGTGAGAATAGTCGCCGGTTGTTTAGTCTGAACACATGGGTCATGTCTATTGGCATTTTGTATATGTATCGGCATACATTTTAGAGTGATTGTTGGCACTCAGGCAATTATCTGCGCATCACTGTTTCGATAAGTTATAGACGTCATGTAACGAGTTTCAATGCAAAATTAGCCATTTGATTCGAATGTTTCACCACAATACAATCCTGTGCTGTGGCAAAGCTTACTGAAGCCAAAAGAAGCATGCAGGAATTCGTGTGCTTAAATATATCAAGATTCTACTTTTTTCACAATAATTGTGCGACTAGGCAGAAGGCCTTCAACTATGTGCACAAATTTTTTGTCTGCGCACCAGCATACATGTGGATCAGGTGTCCAGTCACGTCATGCCGTGTTGTTTCGCAGGCCCCTGTCTCTGCCTTACCAGACACTTGTGTCGATGGAGAGCTTCAGTATATCAAGCAACATCACTGCCAACACCACCACATCACAGCTCAGGTGAGGTCGCTTGTTTTTGTGTACTCATAGTTTGCCATTGCCTTTCCTTGTCCTAATCTTACAAGCTACGTTTGCCATATCTATAAGATTCTTGGACACACCAAATCCATGACACGTTTGATGTTGTAGAATAGAAAATTTATGCTTCTGGTAGATGCATGTGTATCTTTGAAGAAAACATTTTTTTTTCTCTCATAAATGTTGTGTAATGTCTCTCTTCTATATCTTGATTGCGCACCATTTCAGTGGTCCCAGTTGTTATGGGCATGCTGTCTACACGAAGCTGCTTAATAAAACCAGTGGGCCAGTCATGACGGTTCAGGTTTCTTTGAAACTTGCAACCTTTGAGAACTTTTTCAGGTCAACTTTTACAAAAGCTGCAACTCGCGGTCGCAAGTCTCGGCCAAACAGAGAAAAGTTGGGTACAGCTGTTGCCACCACCTTCAACTAAAAAAAAAATTCTTTTTAAATTAGCTTTTGATTGAATAAAAACTGCACAGCACCATGCATGCACCACAATGCACGCAAGTCATAGTGGTGCTGTACCACCATTTTGTTGTACCACCAACAAAAACTGCTGTACCACCATTTTGTGAAGTGTGACGCTCTCTATTAGTAGGTTGTTGAAAATGCTGAAAAATGGATTTTCATTTAGTGTGTGATTGGAGTGTGCTGAGAATTCTCAGGCCCATATTCTTGTTTTAAAAAAGTATGCATTATATTCTAAGTTAGGTATACAAAGTTTGGCTAGAGTAATTGCGTGACGCTGCTGTACGTAGAGTGCCAGGCTAAAATGCGAGACTGACTGAAACTAATACAGTGCAGTCCACTTATAACGATATCGAGAAAACCTAAAAATATGATCGTTATAACCGGTGATCGTTATATCTGGACTGCCGCCAAAAAATCGTCGCCGGACGTACCTTTTGTAGCTCCAGGCTTCATTTCGCTATTTTCACCAATTAATAAATATTGTAGATAGTAGGATGTCAAAACAAGACTTTATTTCTTACTCCGAAGAACGCATCACGGGTTCGCTGAGGAAGAGAGACTGACCGACGGCGGGGTGGGAGCAGTGGGAGGAAGAAAGCACAGCCAGAGGTACACAGCCGGAATGAGGCCCCGCCCCGATGCCGCCGCGCCGCTTTGCTTTTCGCTTTTTTTATTTTCTCTCTCTTTCCCGCTTTCGTTCGGCAAGCTACGAGTAGCTTGCCGGCTTGCCGTTGCAGAAGGCGGTGAGCCGCGGAGCGCGGCGCTTTGCTTTTCGCATTTTTTTTTTAATTCTCTCAGCCTCTCCGCGGTCGACGCGCGGCGAGGCGCAAAACGTGACACAGCTGGCGCCATCTGTAGCGCGTCGCGCCAACTCGCGATGCTCTCCTCGGCTTTTTGAACGGCCGGGACTGCAGTGGCGGCAGATACGTACTCGCCTACGCTAACTTTTCGTCTTGTCTCGGCATAGTTCGTTTCAGAGGAACTTATCAATCTAAATGTTACGATTATTCTGAATGAAACATGCCGTCCACGGCAAACTTTTCATCGTTGTATCCGATATGCGGTGGATAACATATCGTTATATATGTTTTTTTTCCCCATAGCCCCAATGCATAAAATGAGACTGTTAAGTCGACCCATCGTTATAACCGATATATCGTTATATGTGGTATCGTTATAAGTGGACTGCACTGTATGTGGTCTTAGTATATCTCTCTGGTTTTTGTTTGAAAATTTCGTTTCTAGGTCATTCCACACGAACGTCCCAGCCGTACTGGGGAATACAGTCAAACCCCTCTACAACGAACGGCGCTTGACCGAAACAACGAAAAATTCTTGGTTCCCTGTCAGCAGTTCATAGGAGTCGGTGCATAAATATTCTCGCCACAACCAGCACTTTTCCTTGTGCTGTTCTGCTTCAACGGAATTCGATGGTGCAATTCCAGGCTTAGATATTTAATGCTATGCAGTAAGCACAATCTTTAACATTTTGATGCATTTTCATAACATGAAAATACATCGACGAAGTCTAGGAAAACACGTTGGCACGACCAGAAACCGCCGCTGTTTACCAAGCATGGGTGCCGCCATTGCTCGATAGGGATGGCAATGCGACTGCCCTGCTTTTGCCACTTGCTTGCTTTTGAGCTGCAGGCGATTCGAAGCTGAAGCAATGGCTGAAGCTCAGTCGCTCAGTTCATGGTTTCCGTCGCGCAGCTACTGGGTGCATTCGCGGAACGATGCATTTTCTGATGCCAATGCTTATCATTCTGCTTGCACTTGACCAGTTTGTACTTGACTAAATGAAGGGGCAGTTCGTCCGCATTATCGACAAAATCAGCCAGCCAGGAGTGATGGATAAGAATAGCATAAAATAAGGCAAAAGTCACCGCTGCGCGAGACCCTGCCTCCACCTCGGCGTCGTTGGAACAGTTGCTGGTGTTATGTTAATGCAACTGTTACCGTATTTACTCGATTCTACCGCGCCCTCGATTGTAACGCGCACCCGGTGTCCACGGACGAAAAAAATAAATAAATAAGACATCGATTGCAACGCGCACCCATTTTTCTCATTGGCCCGCACGATCACACCACTCGGGAAAACGACTCCTTTCGGAAGCGTCTTCCGTTTAAATATGAGGTGCAGGGGAAGCTTGTGCCCATCCGACGTGCAACGGAGCATTGCCGTCACTCTAGTTTTACCGCGGCCCCATGTCAGCACACGAACTTGCTTCGCCCCCTTCTTCTCGAGGGTTGTGGTGCCAGGCATGTCGAAGTAAAGAGGCGTCTGATCGGCATTCCCGATTTGCCAAAGCAGGTAGCCGTTGTTGTGCCGCAAGTTTAGGACGAACCTCTGAAAACTGTGAAGCTTTTCATCGTACTCCTCCCGAAACTTTTCGCATATGCCCGTTCGCCTTTGGAGGGAAAAGCCTTTCCTCTTCATAAGGTTAGTTAGCCAGCACCTGCTCGCTTTAAACTGGCTCCGCATTAGCCCTTTTTCTAAGGCTAACTGCATAGCTCGCACTTGGAGCAGTTTTGTCGTCACGGGCTGCTGTGCCGCTCGCTGCTCAAGCACATACTCGCCGAGCAGCTCCTCAATTTGCGGAAACCGACCCTGGTGTGGTCCACTGAAGCCTTTGCGTGAAGCTTTGCTGTCGATAATCTTCTGCTTTTGTTTCCGCCAGTCCCGCACGCATGTTTCGGGAACTCCGAACGACCGCGGCCCAATTTCCGTCCGTTTCTGCTCACGCAATGACTTTTCTTTTAAAAGCAGCATCGTGGTGCACTGGTCGAGTTTTTGGAGTCGGCCCTTCCATGCCGTCAATGCTAATGTACTACAAGATGACAAACTCCTCAGCACACGTACGAAGTGCCGCACATGGGAAACACATAGGCAGAAATGGCCGACGCGCCATGCCGATGCACGTAGGGGGCGGCCATTTTGGAAATGCGGATGGCAATAGAATGACCGGATTCATTTTTTTTCCGTACTCGATTCTAACGCGCATGCGATTTATGAACTCGCTTAACCGAAATAAAGGTGCGCGTTAAATTCAAGTAATTATGGTAGGTTTGTTCACGAAAGCCGTTGTGGCCATTGTTTCAGCATGCTTTGCACCATGGCGTCGCAATGCATGGGTGAGAATCGCATCGTGACGCTCTTGGAACGAATAAGAAGCAGCCTACACATTTAGAATTTTGGGAATAAAAGTTAGTTTGTTTGGCTAGCTCAGACCAGGTATAATTTTTCGATTTCAATAATAATGAAATTTTCGCTTCAACGAAATTTTTTTCACGCCCTGTCAGTTTCGTTGTAGTGGGGTTCGACTGTATCTCAAAGGTATTTGAAAATGTCGTACCGATTTATTGCATTGAAAACGCTGAATTGCTAGCATACTTCAGAGTGAAAAAGTTTTTTTGTCGTGTAGGAGCCTTCTGAATTTGGCATCATCTCATTAGAGTGGTATTTTCCGAGAGAAATTATTCTGAGAGTATAGTTTCTTACAGTACTAATTTTTGATTTACATATTAAGCAAAAGCATTTGTGTAAGGTATTAAAAGCAATTTAGTTTTTATGTCATGTACACTTCCAGAAATCTTGCAACGCTCTCCTCTGTGTATTTTTCTTTCTTTTATGATATTGCGTTATGTATGGGTATCTCGGTAATCAATTCTCACTCTACATAAATAACATTTTACGTTAAAATATTTTCAGACCTCTGAAGCTTGTAAATCGTGAGAAATCATTCTTGAATTGTAGAAAATCTTTATCTTAGTAAACATTTAGATGCAATTTAAATCACATGTTTCTCTAATTAAAAATAACCATTATGCACCAATTGAAAAAAAAAGTTCTTAGACGGCAGGTTTTATCATTAGATTCTTATTGTAAAGAACAAAATAATTTTTGGAAATTCCCCAATGACTGCATTAAGAAATAGAATGAGGAATCTTTCATATGAAGAAGTCGGAAGATGGTTGTCAAGAGATTAAAAAATATGAACACAGAAGATTTTGACAAGTTTTCTGGTGATGTATATGGCTGGAAAGTTGCAGTAATATTACTGAGCACAAATGCCTGTGCCTAATATAAAATTGAAACTTGCTATTTAAACGGGAAAAAGATATGCTCAGCATAAACTTTCTGGCAAACATTACTAAGGTGACATTAAGCAAAACTCGGAAGGCTTCCACATGAGCGAAAAATTTTTTCTCTTCAAAATATTGTAGTGAATGTTTCTTTCTTTCTCCAATGTGGACTTTTTTTTTCTTGTTTGAAGAATCATCGCCGAGGAGGTGTTCCTCTACATATCTGACAAGGTGTCCAAGGATGACCCACCCGACCTGTCTGATGGTAGTGCAAACAAATTTCACTCTCCTTTAATCACTTAATGAAGTTACAATCTAGTTGATTATACATGTGCGAGTGAGGAAGAAGAGGAGCGACAGACAAAGTGAGGGTGGGTAGATAGGGGGAAGGGGTAGGAACAAAAGCAACATATAAACATTATAAAAAAACAGAAATCTGCAAAAGCAAGTAACGAAGCGCATATTCGTAGCAGACGATATGAGTATAGCCTAGCGTAAGTCGCTCCTCAAAGTGTGTCTCTAATACACTTGTCTGAATAGCAACACACTGTGTGCTTTTGAGGATTCTTTGTTATGAAAAGAGGCAATTTTCGAATATGTCCTAAGCAGTTGAAAGCTCGTTTCTGAGTGATTCTAAATTGGGACTTATATTCTTGCAGCTGCAATTTCGGCGCGTGGCTTGTTGGATGTTCGAATCTGAAATGAATCATATCAGAGGACAATCCAAAATGATCTCTATATTTCCCAAATGTTGCAGCATAGCCTGTAACGCAAGCAGTTAAATCTCCGTAAAACGATTCTCAAAAGGCTGCTGAAAGTCATTCATTATTTTGAAAAGTTTTTGTGAAATATTCAAGATTTGTGCAAGAATTGTAAATGAAACTTGATGAGCCGCCTATATGTGCTGGGTATATATTCATGATCATGTTACGCTCTAATAGGAACCAAAAAATGAATGGGAAATAATATGTAAGTAGTGCACGTTATTTTAAGAAAGCACGATGTTCGCCTGAAGCGTGCAGCTTCAGTGTTGCAACACGATCTCTTAAGAGTGCGCATCCTTCTTATGCGCTTCGAAGCATCAGCGTTCGGTACAGATTCTTCTGTTGGTTCATGCATGCGGTTTCAATATTGTCCTTTGCTCTGGTCATCCTCATCACCGCTTTCTTATCACTACAAGGATTTTTACTAAAGTCATTATCCTGAAAAAAAAATCTTTAATCTGAGGTTCACCATAACGAGATTTGACAGTAGTAGTAACAAGTGTTGTGGGTTACACCCGATCGCATCAAGCTAAAGGTTGAGGGAATTATGGTGTCTTGTGATGGCATTGGTAAATAAAACAATAGTTTTTTTATTACTCCATTCCTCATAAATTGCTATCAGCTCTTGATGTAATAAAGTTTCCACGGATCTTCAGTAACACCTCCTATATTTTATTTTTAGTTTTTTCTTGCTAAGTGTCACTTTTTCTTCTGCGGTTTTTAGGTTATGTCTGTGTTGCGGACACTGACTTGTTTGATATCTCCGCCCGCACGACGGACGTGCCAGGGCAGGTAAGCGTGCACGTCTTTTATCTTTTCTGGTTAATTTTTGGTGCATGAACTATAAGTGATTCTTTCTGTTCAGTGGTCTTTTTGAACCGGCTCAGTTTGATTAGTTGGTCCTCACTTTTATGCCTTGGAACTGGATGTAATTAAAGCTGAATATCTTGAATCTTAAATGGACCACATAAAAGCTCTATATATAGGTAAATCGGTATACAAAACATTTTATACATTCAAAATACATTTGAGGGAGTTTTGCAACTGCTCAATATACACAGCAATTGCTCTATTTATAGGTGATTTGGTATACAAAACATTTTATACATTCAAAATACATTCGAGGGAGTTTTCAACTGCTCAATATACACAGCAATTCATTAAAGGCGGGTTTAATATATGCAAGCTCCACTGTACTTTGTGAGATGTTGGATAGAAATGTTCATGTTGTGTTGCACTTTGGGGAGCACGTGATCAACCGTTGTCAGGGCTGAATAGAACTCCTCTGTAATAGGTTCCTCGCAGGGACCCTGAAAAGAGAAGGCAGCAGCCGAGAAATGTTCGATGCAGACATGCAGCTAAGCTCTGGAAAAAGTGCCAATGTAGTAAAACAGGTGCATTGCTCTCAGCTGTGCCTCAGAAGGATTTATTCATCAGTGTAAATCTCAAGGAAGTCCTTCATGGATGTCTGGTGTTTGTTTCTCACTTCGACCTGAACCAGATCCTTTTCACGCTCTTGGGTTACCTCGCCTACATTGTGAAACTTATTGAGGTGCTATCAAACCTCGGTATAAGGAACCTGAATTTAACGAAATACTGCTTATAACAAAGTAAAATAAGAATAGTCTCGCAATAAATATGGTGTTGAAAATGCACCTTTATAATCTATTTTTGGTTATAAGAAAGTTATTTTCGTGTAATGAGGCTTGAGTACCTCCTCAGCACGTCCTGCACAGCATCAATTTACAGTGTATCAGGCAAAAAGGATGTGGGGTAACTATGTGAAAAGTGTAGTGGTCTGTACATTCTTTGTTGCTGCCGAATCCTACGAATGTTATACTCTGAAAGATCTGCTCGTGAGAAACGTAGAAGTGAGGTTCTACTGCGTATCATCTCGTTCAAATGTGTGAGCAAGCCAAGGTTCACTTACAGACATATCGCCACTGCAACGAAATCATACGTAATCTTATTCCTTTCAATTTCTTCTTTTTCTGAACTTCCCAGCTTCTAAGAAATCATGGACGAACCCACGTAAGAAAAATTCACTAGCAAGTGAAGCTATTTGTTCTTTACAAAGGAAATGGTACAACGTTAAGGCATAGAAGTAGTTAGTGTTAGTTTCGTTGGCTGCCACTGTCTTTACTTGCTGCCTCACGAATTGAAGCTCCAGCCATAACTCACTTGTATTTGTTTGCAAGCAAACTGGAAAGGCAAGCCCTCTTGTGAATTTAGGTCTATGAATTGGTGCAGTGAAAGCTCATTAATACGTATTGATTTTAATCATATTAACGGTTAGAAAGTAGCAGCTAACACAGTGGCAAACTAGAGGCAATCAAGTCTTAACAAGGCGCGAAGAATTTTGGCATATCTGTCGATCTTGGCTTGTGACTATGGTGGAGAGGTCTATGGCACTTTGTATTCAGCTGGCCTCGTTAAAGGGGAAGTGAAATAAAACAATGAATCAGTTAAGACTGATAATTAGTGCTATTAAAACTCTATTGCTATCAATTTCACCATTAAAGGCTCAGTAATAAAAAAGAAAATATAGGTGAAGATTACATTTTTACGCTTTAAGCTGAAATCTCCGTTTATGGCTTCATGGATTTCAAAATGTTTTATTTGCGTTTCAGTCAAACTGGCTCAACAAACTTTTCTGAAACATTACACAATGTCTCTAGCCCTCTGAGAGGACAATGCACTTCATATTTACCAATTAAGAACTCGGCAGGCACTACATTCCAACCTCAATATAATTAACACAGATATAATGAAATTCCGGCTACGACAAAGTAAATGAACAATTGTCTTGTAATAGCTAGTTTTAGGAATATACTTTTACAACAAATTTTTGGACATAGCAAACTAATTTTCATGTCAGATGCAACTTCGTTATAATGAGGTCAGAGTGTTGTAGACACCGTCAAATTCAATGATGTCGCAGTGATTAGTGCGAAAACATCGAGGCGGGGTCGCCACCCGCATTTCCTTTCTGCACGTTATGTCACCGATAGAGCGTCTCCTCAGGTTAAATGTAGGGATTTTGATATTGTGAAATTATAATTTACTAATATAAGTACAATCATTGTTTTAATTTAGTCTCTCGTTAAGCTTTGGTGTGCGTGTTTGGGGCTGCCAACTGTGTCGTTTCTTATCAGTCTTTGCACGAGTGCCAGAAAAGACGTACGTGATTCTTTTGACGAAAATATTGTTTTGTGCATATGTCATTGTATGAAAACAAACTTAGTTATTTTGTTCAAATTTTCTGGTTATACGCATATTTTCACTCCTCCTTGAGATTGACATCCGGGAGATTCTACTGTAGTGCTTCCTATAAGTCTAAAAAAATTAGGGCTTTGGCTGCACAATATAAATTTTAGAAATGTGTTGTATAAAGGAAATGAATACTGCAATTAAGTAAAAATTATTTTATGATGTAACAAAAACCTTAAAAGATAGTGACAGTAACACACCATTGATTTTCCAAAATTTTAACTTAGCAAGAGCTCTTGTTTTTACAACCTGGGAAGGTGTTTTTATTGTATAATGCTAACATAAGCTTTATAAATTTTCTGCAATTCCTTGCTAGTGGTCAGTACTAATACAGTTAAAACCCTTTATAAGAGGCACGCTCTGGGCAGCAATTCTTGTCCTTTATATGGGATGTCTTTTATTAGCAGGGCACCACGTAGGTAGGCATTTTCTTATCAACCCACATTTTATTGTAGGCACATTGGTGTCTCTTATACCCAATTGTCTCTTAATCAGTGCCTCTTATAAAGGGGTTCAACTGTAGTTACAATAGTGTTGCCATTAAAATTTTATTCTGTTCAATCAGGTCACAGTATCAAAGTGAAACATGTACAGTAGACTGTTGTTGAAGAGAACTTAAAAGGACCAGGTAAATTTGTCCCTTTTAACATGTGTTCTGTCTACTTAACAGGAGTTGCCTATACTGAGAAAAGGAAAGTAGTGTAGATTTCAAATATGAAACAAGTCACAATGCTTTGAACCCATTACAAAGGAATCAGCCATCGAATCAATTAATGGAATAGCGGGTACCTTGCAAGTGGGCTTGTATCAATAGCCCTAGAGAGTTTACAGTGGGTTCTAGAAAAAGGGCCCTTCCAGCTTTCACTATGACTGAGCTGTGGTTTCTGTTGCAGGCCTGGCGTTTTTATTATTTTTTAAAAAAATTTTTATTTACCTAGAGTCTGCTGTAGTTAAAATGCGACTTTTTATGCGATGCTGGTGTTTTGATCAAACTTTCAACGGTTTGTGTTTCTATGCTGCATTTCGTACACTTCTAGCGTGTGTCTACCATCAAGATGAAGGCCTCGAATAACATAACGAACTTGAGGACGTGCGTGGACTCCTGCCAGGCACTGCAGGCTCTGGTGACGTACCTCGCGAGTGATGGAGACCTCGCCAGTGACCCGAGCCCACCACCAGAGGTGGATATACCAATCTTGCTTTAACGTTGAATGCCGTTTGCTGCTGCTTTCGTGCAACCGGGTTTGGAAATGCAAGTGGGGATCTTGCTGTACTGACAATTTGATGTTTTGAGTTGGCGTAATGCAATGTCGTTTAATTCAAAGGGGCCCTGCAACACTTTAAGTAGCCACGGAATGGATTCACTGAAGAATCTTTCCAGTACGAGTGGAGTTACAAAGATTTGTCGCATGTTGCAGTTGCATTATCTCGTCTCGCGTCCCGGCGAAAATGCTGGAAGCTAAGCAAGGAAGAATGGAGCACATTTGCACATTTTCTCTCTCTTTTATTTTTCTTCGATCACACTGCTTTTCGGTGCAATCCTGTGTGCACGTGTGGACGAGTCATGGCGTCCCATGGTGGCTCCTCTAACAACCCAACGTGCCATGCCCAAATCAGCCAATGACTGATACAATGAATGTGATGAGTGATTTTTGAGCTTGTATCGTCATTTGTCGAGAGAAGAGAAAGTGATTTTTAGCTGACTTTGAGAATTTATTGTGAATTTCAGGCCACGTGCTGCGCTCTAATATTTGACTCGCGCGCTCTTGAGAGCTTCAACTACCGATTTGCAGCACTTTCTGACCCTCAAAAAGTGTTGCAGGGCACCTTTAAGAGAGCATGGCTTGTAGGCGTTTATTTCTGCGTCAAGCGGCATTGGAGTCGTCAGCATCGGCGTAACGAATAGAGTGAACACGGAGTCTGCAGATATTACGAACCTCTGGCCTCTAACCTCGTTTCCTTTCTCTGTCACGCGCGCTGGCATTGTGATTAAAGATTGTGTGCATTCAGGGCTGGAATGTGCCCTGTGGCTGGCTTCACATGTCATAACGAGGCCGTCAGCGTTTCGCTTGGTTCGCGACGCCTGCGATGCACGGAGTGGTGTGCGTAACACTTGGGCACTGGCAGTTTCTGTGGAAGTGTGTAACCACTGTTACATTGCTACAACCTGCCTTTTTCATTTTCCTGTGCTGCACACTGGCATTTTGGTAGGCTTTTGGTAAGGGCTGGGAGAACTGGCATTGCTACAATGAAGGCCTCAGAGACCAGGAGGCATTTCGCGATTTTCCCGCGAGAGTGAGGCACATGCGCAGCGATATCATGGAAAAGGCGGACTGTAGATAGCCAAAGCACAATTGGCGTTTTCCAAACACGAAACTGCACTTCGAATTCGCTTGGAGATGTTTTTGTATAAAAGGAAAATGCGTAATATCAAGAGTACCTCCAATAATCGTGTGTATAGCTAAGCAGAAAGTTTTTTGCTATACTATTTGTTTAAGCACCCAGAGAAAGCTGTTATAAGTCTGCGGGCTACTCCCCCAAGTTCTTCTTTCCTGCCAGTGTTAGTATACTACGCCAGCAGACAATACTGAAGGCCGTCCAAGGTCTGTGTCTGCAAACAGCAGAATGTTGTATCGAAAAACCTTGAGCTTGTGTCCATGTTGCCTCTCAAAATATCAACTGTTTAGAATTCATAATAAATTACGTTGGGACAAAACCATAAATCTCCGGAACAGCGGGCAAATATCTCCACTCTTCAACGTGATAAAAAAAATTTTGTCCAAAAAAAAAAAAACAAACAAAAGAGTATGGCTTGTCTTTCAGCCCAGCTCCTGTGGTGGTGGCGGCTCCGGAACTGTCCTTGTCGAGCATCTCGGCAGTGTCACCGGCATGATGGCAGACCACTTGCAGAGCCTCGTGGCTTCAGCCATGCACGAGTCGTGCAGCTCCTCCTCATCTTCAAGCTCCGAAGGTGTGAATGCAGCGGAGTTTTTTTTTTCCATCTCGTGGTGTGGTTGCTAATTTTTATGCTGGACCCTACTGCAGTCAAACCTTATAACGAAGTTGTATCTGACACAAAAGTAACTTTGTTATATCCGAAAATTCGTTATGAATGTATGTTAATAATACTGTATCTATGACAAGACTGTTCTACATTTACTTTGTAATAACCAATGATTCGTTATATATTTCTGTTTGTTATATTGAGCTTTGAGCATACACTCAAAGCTCAATATAACGAATACGGATACAGCTAAACCTGTTTATCAGGGGCATGCTTCAGGCAGAAATTCTTGTCCTTTATATGTGATGTTTGTTATAAGCAGGGTGCTCTGTGTGCATTTTCTTATCAACCCGTCTTTTACCGTAGGCACACTGGTGTCTCATACCCATTGGTCTCTTATATCAGTGTCTCTTATACAGGGGTTCAACTGTATAATGAAATATCGGTAATAACGAAGTAACTGTAAAATAGTCTTGTAATAGATACAGTATTAGGAATAACCTCTATAACGAATTTTCGGATATACCATATTTACTCTGAGCTAGGCCAACCCCAATTCTAAGCCAACCCTCCAAAAGTTCGAACTTCGGAAAAAAACAACAAAAAAAGCCACTTTCAAATGTTCATTGAACGAAACGGTGAAGACAGCGTTCACGAAGAGATATTTATTGAACATGAAGATCAAACAAAGCAGTTCGTTCATGATGCTAGTAACTTGAGAAACATACAGCAGCCAGTCCAGTTGTGTTTGTTTCTTTGTCATATTTTTTTTCCGCACTGCTTCTAGTTATTTGCACCATAAAGATGCAAAGCTTGCTGATGCTGCGCTCAATTCAAGTTGTTGTCACTGCTTTCCTTGCCGCTGACTTCTTTATCGCTGTCTTTAAATAGTGCGCAATCCTCAGTGCCATCAAGCGCACTGAATGTGCTGCACTTCTTGAAAGAGCGCATGATCAAAGTTCCTGGAATGTCGTCCCATGCTGCAGCCCCTTCAGCAACGTATTTTTTTTTTTGTCCAAAGTCCCGCCGGGCTTGAACGTTAAACTATGACTCCACGACTAGGACAACTTCCCTTTTATAAGCGGCACTATAACGACACCGCCTGTTTGGCGCCATTGAGCTATGCCACACAGAGACCACTTGAAGTGCGACTCGAAATGACAAACTGGTCTCCTCAAAGATCGAAATGGCGGGCTCATGTGTGTACGTAAGCCAGGTGTTAGCTCGGCTACAAACGTCTACAATCCCATCTAGGTGGAATTAGTTTTGCACCACTTTTCTCAATGAAAAATGGCATGTTTTTTAAAATGGGCGAATTTAAGCCAACCCTGGAGTTTGATGCGAAGAAATTTGAAAGAAACTATTATCTGCCTAGATTCGAATAAGTACGGTAACAAACTTATTTTCTTGTAAGATGCAACTTTGTTATAATGAGGTTTGAATGTATACGTCATGGTTGATGTTTGCATTTTCCTTGAATACCTCGAGGGTTCATTTTGCATTCCTGTGCAGAGGAGGATGAAGACAGCGACGAGTCGTTCCAAGATGCCAGGGGTGGCTACAAGTACACCCACTACGTCGACAACATGCGGAACAAACGCCATGTCGCAGACCTTAGGCTGGAGGCGCATGAAAATGAAGCCGACGGCGTCGCCTCATCGCAGAGCCGTGCGGAGTGCCACATATCATCAACAGTTGACTCGTCGTATTCCGACGAGGAGTTTTGCATTCTGGAAGACTACCCTGGTGTGGGCATCATGGTGAGCGTACTGTACATTCTCTTGCATAACCTGCACAAAAAAATGCAAAAAATTTGGAGCTGATGCGGGCTGCACACGAATTTTGCTGTGCGAGGTCGCTTCATGCCTGTGCTACATGGTTAGCAAAAAAGTTAGCCCCTGATGGCAATACAAATAGATGTTTATTGAGTCTAATTTTTTCAGGGAGTGTATTTTGGTGGGGGGGTTGTATGCATAGGCACATTATAAGCAAGGTCATATCGTAAGTAAAGCTTACACGAATTGTAGAGTTGCTTGAGTTGAGAAGCTTACGGACTTTTCTCATTCCGGTTTTCTACAGCCTCGCAGCGGTGAGCCCCAGATTCGCATGCTAGTCACTGAGCCGATCGAGGTGAGGGAGAACTACTTCTCCTCGGCGGCCCGCAACACGGACCAACTCCGAGCCCCGCGCAACTTTCCCGAAGCCATGCAGAAGTACACGCTACGGGAGATGACGCTAGTCTGGTACATGTACGGTGGCTGCGACTTCGAGAGCAGTATTACTCCAAGTGAGTAGCATGCCCACCCTCATCTTCTTGCTGTATTACTGCCTAGAGGGAAATCTGGCACCACCATCTACGGTGAAATCTCGGTATTACGAACTTCAGGGGGCCACGGCGATTTGCTCGTTATTTTGAAAGGTTGTTATAGTGAAAGCCCAAAAATTAACCATAGATACTTATTTTCCACCGACCAAAACGACTTACTTTTGAAACGGTGGGTCCTTGAACTCGTTTTTCACAAGAAAAAACAAATGCACAAGTGTACACTAAAAAATGCATGTTCACTTAAAGAAGTCTGTGATTTTTTTTATTATTTTGACGCGTGCAGCAGAAGCTTTGCAGCGCGAAGGCCTCAAGCTCATCCACATTCCTGGGGTGTAATACGGTGGTGCGATCCACTTTCTCGCTTAACAAAAACTGCTTCCGCTTTTTTGTCTCAAGCAGAGTAGCACCGCAGCACGAACGCTGACTTGCTTTGCAGACGCGTAAGTAATCATTGAGAAGAGATGAACATGACCTACAAGGCCTCCTGGAGCACATGTAGAAGTGACAAAGATAAGGAAAACCTGAAGCATGTGGCTGTCATCGCCTCTTTCGAATTTCTCGCGTTTAGTTTTTTGCTTCCTCGCTGTCTCAGGTTTTTCGTGCCCATGTTTTCTGCTCAGCAACTCCCACTCTGCCGCCGACCTTGCCCTCCCCTGTTGCCCTCGCCCCTCGCCTCGGCACTTGTAAACCTGCAGCATCGGCGTTTCGATGAAAAGAAAGTCGTGCTTTTGTTTTTTCCCCTCCGCATTGTCGCGCGTGTTTCGAGGAGCAAGGCGTCTGTTTGCTGTGTCGTTTGCTTGCGTACTGCTCCAGTGGTCGTTATGGGTTTCAGAACATGAGTTCGCTGTACTGAGGCGTTTTTACTATAACACGGAACTAAATTAGCGCTCGCTATTCTGAAAAATTCGGTATTCTGAATTATGTGGTAGTGAAATAATTTTACATTGAAACTACTAGCAGTCGGCACGGTATTTTTTAAAAGTTCGTTAATATGAAAAGTTTGTTAATCTGAAAAGTTCGTTAATGTGGGGTTCGTTCTACCGAGATTTCACTATGCACGTTTCCAAGTGGACGCCATATCTTCCTAGAAATGACATTTTACTAGTAGGCTGTTGGTAAACCAAATCTGTGAAAGAGATACCAAACGAAATAGGGAAAAAAAAATGACCAAAACGTCGAAATTCTATTTGAAAGGCGCAAGTGTTCTGATACACAGAGTTCATTGCACTTATTTTTGAACAGTCAGCTCGATTTTCGGAAAATTGCCAGTGTGGCGGCTGCACACCTGCATAAGTCATGGTGTCAGTCACCATGGCGAATTACGTGTTTTGCTGGCCTGCTACTTCCCTTTTTCCGCCTCCCCTTCACATCCGACTCCCCCCTTCTGCGAAGGTAGTGCATATGACGTGCCACTAAGGCTGGATCATGGTTCGCTGCTGGAGCCATTGTAGTGATTCCAGGAACCGTAGCGGTAGCTGAGTTGGTTGGGAGACACACGGGCAACTGCTAGCATTGTTGGCACGACCATGAATTTTGGCTGCGCCCTTTACCAGTGGTGTTAACTTCATCTCCTCTAGTTAGTGGTGCAGCCTCTATACATAGCAGTTTGTGGAAGACACATTCAATTCATCATTTCTTGCTAGTTTCTGTCTAAAACGTACCGTATATACTCGTGTAAGGGCCGCCCTCGTGTAAGGGCCGCACCCCAACTTTGAAAGCGGATATTTCGAAAAAAAAAAAAAAACAAAAGTTCAAAATGTCCCGCCAGAAAAGTGTAGTTAGTTCATTTACAGCCAGATGGCGCTGCACGCTTTTCCGCTTTTATTCTACTTCCGCCGACGCGCCGACCACGCTGTTGACAGCGCGCCGCCATATTTGCCTTGTGCGGCCTCTTTGTTGGCATCGTTCCTAGCATCGTGTCGATACGTTGGCAGCGCGACTTCAGATCGGTGTCGTCGGTGTCACTTTGTTGGTTGTAGTGAACCCTGCAGAAGCCAGCGCACGTGACGGACGATGGGCCGGCATCTGAGATCATTCACTGCAGCATTTAAGCTGCAAGTGATTGACTATGCCGAGGAGCACGGGAAGCGGGAAGCTGGACGAAAGTACGACGTCGATGAGAAGCGCGTGCGTTACTGGATGAATCAGAAAGATGCCCTCGCCGCTACTAACAGGAGCCGAAAGGCGTTTCGCGGGAAAAAGTGCAAGTACCCGCAACTCGAAAGCGAGCTCGTCAACTACGTCGTCGACACACGAAGGGACGGCTACGCCGTATCGACTGACATGATACGCGTCAAAGCCCTCAGCATCGCTCGCCACATGGAAATACCCCCGGCACAATTCAAGGCAAGTCGGGGCTGGGCTACGCGGTTTATGAACCGTAACCAGCTTTCTATTCGGCGCCGAACGACGATTTGCCAAAAACTGCCGCGCGAGTACGAAGACCACGTCATTAAGTTTCATCGCTTCGTGAATGCTCTCAGGAGGGAGCATGAATACGACCTGTCCCAAATTGGGAATGCGGACCAGACACCTGTGTGGTTCGATGCACCGGAAAGCACCACAGTGGATTTAAAAGGTGCGAAAAGTGTGTCTGTGCGCACGACTGGTGCAGAACGCCAAAGGTGCACTGTGATGTTGTGCATCACGGCAGACGGCAGGAGGCTTCCGCCGTACGTCGTATTTAAAAGGAAGACTCTCCCAAAAGAGAAGTTCCCTCAGGGAATCGTCGTACGTGCGCAAGAGAAGGGCTGGATGTCCGAGGAACTGGTCGTTGACTGGATTAAGACCGTCTGGGCAAACAGACCTGGAGGGCTGTTACAACGGAAAGCCCTCCTTGTTTTGGACAGCTTTAGGGGCCACTTGACCGACCGCGTCAAGAACCGAGTTGCCGCAACTCGTACGGACTTGGCCGTCATTCCCGGTGGCCTGACGAGTGTGCTGCAGCCGCTCGACGTATGCGTCAACAGACCATTCAAAGTGGAATTTCGCCGATGTTACTCTGAATGGATGGCTGGAGGCGTCCACGAGAAGACCCCTACAGGACGGCTGAAGCGGGCGTCGCTCCAACAGGTGTGTGAATGGATTTTGAATGCGTGGCGTGCCATGTCAGTAGAAGTAGTTGCTAAAAGCTTCAAGGTAACGGGAATTTCGAACTCCATGAACGGCACCGAAGATGACCGTCTCTGGGAAGACGCGGACGCCGAGGCGAGCTCCTCCGAGAACGAGGACAGCGAAATGGAATCCGAATAAAAACATTTCTGGCATGTCATTTGTGACTCTTGCACTCTGCTACTGTTGCATAAACAGTACAGACCTTTGGCCTGTACTGCCTGTACTAAATCGGCCTGATTCGTGTAAGGGCCGCACCTAGCAAAATTTTCGAAAAAAAAGTGCGGCCCTTACACGAGTATATACGGTAGGTTGTGTCTACCGGTTTTGGTACCCACACTTTCAGCTTGGCAGGAAGCTTTGCAGCAAAAATTTGGTCAGTGTTCCTTTAGACAAATGCCTGCAATGGAATGGAACAAGCCCCTGTAATGTGACGTGTTGTTGAGGCACATGTGGAGAAAAAAAAAAAACTAACAAGAAAACACATGGTGGCCATAATCTTTTTTGATCTCATGGTCTCATCTCCCATGTCCACAGTGTGCAAAAGCATGGCCTCTGCGATTAAAATTTGTTACTTGAAGATTCTTTTTTAGCATTGCGTGTTTAACTAACACACTTGAAGAAATTAAAATATAAATTTCCTATGGCACTAAAATGCGCTTATCTTTCGCCAACTTCTGTTGGACGTTACAGGTTATTATGTAGTGTGCGCTTCAGGCTCGAAACTTTGGTGTCGTGGGCTCTTTTATCGTAGCCGAGATTTCTGAAATTAACTGATGACTGATGTTCTCTGGAATTTCATGTGGTTGTTGCAATAAAGATTTTTGTGCAATTGGATAGATGACTGAAGTCGTCTTTTCTCATTATACCCCCCCTCCCCTCTTAAACTCAGATGCACCAAGGCCTCCTGAGAAAAGCAGCGGTCAGTGGGACGATGGAACGGAAGAATGGTATGTCATACGCATCTCTTACTGTGTGATAGCGCAGTGGTGGACAGTGGAGGTGCCCATTCTTACAGGATACTTCTATCTCCTACAAATAACTTCAGATACATTAGTTATGTGCTAAATACTTACGATAATCATGTGTGCAGAGAACTCCTCTAAGACATTTTTCACAGGACCACGAAACGACAAATTCGGTATCCTCCAGCGCATCTGAACATGCAGTTAAAGTTACGAAAAGTGCTACTACATCATGAAACAGGTACGTTTTTCACAGTTCGACTGTAGAAAAATTTGTCAATCAGTTTAACGCCTAAAGCAGCACTGCGACACTTCTCTGGGTAATGATTTCACTAATGGAGTTTGTCACGCAGGCAGTTTGTGAAGTACGAGCAGGTCTGCAGAAATTTGGCCCTCGCTTCAGGCACTTTCTCTCTCCTTTTGTCCCGAGCACACTGAAAGCTACACAATGGCAGTGAAAGAGGCAGATACCTACAGCAGTGCATATCATGACCACGAGCTTTATCCACTCTTTCTTTTTGTTTAATGCATCTGCTCATTTCTGGCATGATGACAGGCGTGTTAGTGTACCTACTCAGTGGGCAATTGTAGCACTACAGAGCATGGCGGAGGTATGGGGGGGTACCTGGAGGCAGCCGCTATATCTGTGTCTGTTAAAACAGAGGTTTCGTTGTATGGGAGTTTCCATTGCATGCTAGTACAACCTTCACATATACTGAAGCTAAAGCAAACAATCGATTGCTTAACAGTCCACCGCAACTTAACTAAAGTGGGTATAGTTTCATTGTGTGGTAATCGAGCAAATGCATTATGCACGCGCAATATCGGCTTACTGTTTCACAATGCATAACTTAGTACCTAAGATGTTGCCCAGTTGCATTGTGGTTATTGTCGCCACTGCCGTCGTCATAATCATTGGCAGCACTGCCGCATCGGCCGTCTCAGAGTGCTGCTGAGTTACCCCTGCATTGCCTCTTTGCACGTTCATGGCACTCTTCGAGATAGCGTCGTGGTTACAGTGTCGCTAGTCCCAGTTCGTATGCTTGCCATGTGCGTGCCAGTCTCTATGCATTTCCAGTTCGTATGTTTTTCTGGAAATTCTAACTAGACTCACTTTCCTAAGTCCCTCCTTTATTGTCTGTGCTTTGTTAGTGTCACTCAAGTTCATTTTTTATTTTCCACCTTGATTACGTTCGTCATTGCCACTGCGGCTGTAGGTAGGAACCATTGTTTGCTATAAGAAGTTGAAAAAATTCGGCATGCTTCCTATTAGGCTTCCTTTGCTTATTTGGACTCAGTATTATTTGATTCACCGATGAATAAGCTTTTTAATTATACTTGAAATAAACCCAGATCTCTGAACCGTGCTGCTTCGTTGCTATCCAGTGTTTTAGCCAGACACATGCGTGAGAACGGTGTGATGGGCGCATTTTTGCAACACTTCATTTGCTCTGGCAGATATTGCCTCAGTCACTGATTCATCACTGGATCGTGAGAAATAATTAGCTCTAATTGAGAGTCGGGGGGGTTAACGTCGCGGCCAGTACCGTTCGAGAGCTTGCTTCTGTTCTACACCTGGAAACCAGACCACACATGAGGTGTACTAACAAAGCACGTATACTATGGCTACTGCTAGTTTCCAGGCTTTGTCCTATAGACTTTCGGCAAAACGCATTGGTGTTTTATTTAGATAGAAGCTTCATGCTTGTGAGTGAAAAAATTCTGATATAGTCGGTGTCTACACAAGTGATGCAAAAAAAAGAAAGAAAAAAAATGGCCCCGTATCTGCATGTTTCACTGCAAATGTGGTCGAAAGACGATAGTCTTGCATCTGGAAAGAGTGAACAAAACATTCATTTAATTTTCTGCGCGAGAAAATTGGTTCATTGTATTCTGGAGGCGTTGCGTTAGAGAGTCTCTATCCGTGCAACGAAGGTGAACGAGTGCATCGAGGCACGTTAGACACGAGCACTATCTGGCAGTTATCTTCAAAAACGAAGGAAGACGTGCGAGCCCGTCTTGGAGGCAATAAGGTGTAAAACGCAAAGCGATGGGCAGGTGCCATCACCGTGTTGTCTTAGCAAAGCGTTGGAAACACTTGCCTTTTTGAGCATCGCGTGGCATTGTCAGCGCAGCGTGATAAACACTACGGTCCTTAGGATTACTTATGCATGCCTTCTCTAGTATAAAGACACACATGCAAAATATTGAAGTGTTGTTATGGTGCCTCAGATATGCACAATGATTGCTTTTCAATTGACAATCGCACAAGTATGAACGCTGAAGCTTGAGCAATATTGGTGGGCACTGCAGATAGGGGTTGGTCGTTCGGGGTATCGTTTGGGGTATCAGTACGGTGGACAAAGAGACAAATGTACAGACAGACAGATAGATAGACTGACCAGCCGAAATTTTTGCGTCGAGGTACCCCAAGAAAGACTATTGTCTTTAAAAAAACAGGCCCGCACGGAACACTCAGCACAGCCAGTGTTATTTGGGGAGATGCCTTCATAGAGACTTCTGTAAACATCCTTTTGGGTGACATTGCAAGTAGAGTTGAGAGATGCGTACCACGCCATAATCGTCAATATTTTGGAAAGTTGAAAAGTACCCACTAGGCCCTATTTCACCACTTTAGGAGATGGGCTTTCACGCGTGTTTCGAGGAAAAATAATCAATCGCTTTCAGTCACCCAGTTATTCGGTGCAAGACAGTGTTCCTTCAGGAGTACAGTGAACGGGGCTAGTTGGTACTGTTTCATTATGTTACAGCCCCACAAGAGGGAAAGAGCTGATGCACACACTCAATAGGACACGGCATTCCTTTTCACGTCTTGTCGCCCAGTTCTCACATTCCCCTCTAAGCTTTCTTCATACTTTAAGTGGCACAGCGCTCAGTTCTCACATTCCCCTCCAAGCTTTCTTCATACTTTAAGTGGCACAGGGCATTACAGGAAAGAAAAAAAAAAGGCCGAGCAGACCCATCAAGAGGAAAGAGTACTACGCTCTTGTAGCCCTCTCTCTTTTTGCGTCGGTCTGCTCGGCCATGTTTTAAATTTTTTTTTTTCCCGTAATGTGCTGCACCAGTTCAAGTACGACGAACCAGGCTCGCCCAACCTTCAAAGCTTGTGACCTCCAAGTTTTCCTTCCACATCATCATCGTCATCATCGCCAGCCATCCCTACCGCATGTGCAGTGTGTCGCTCTGTCGGTTTCAGCTACGCAAACGTTGTTCTGGAGCCCCTTGTCGGCAACGTGAGCTACAGCAGGGATGGCCTGTCGGCAGTCGAGATGCTGCCGTTCAAGCCGCAGTCTCCGCCGCAGACTCCCCGGCATCGAAGGGCTCACAAGGGTGGCCCCGGCAGGCGGGACGACGTGCTCATGGAACTGCACATGAACAAGGTGGTGGTCCAGTGAACAAGAGTGTGTTTGTTGCTTTTGGGGGTCATGTTCCCATTTAGTAACCACACATTCTGTGCAATTTACATTTTGCAACTCTTTCTGCTTGCCATCTTCTGCTTTCCCTCTCCCGAGCTAGCTGCATTTAAAAGATTGAGATCATCGAAAGTGTCAATCGGTGAGCTTAAGCTGGCTACATTTAAAAGATCGAGGTCATGAAAACTGGCAATACTGGATGTTAGTAAGAATCAATTTCTTTTGAGCAGTGCTGTGGAATGACGCCCGGTGCCTGTGCTTGTGTGTCATTCGGAGTTGTCATGTTACTCACTGGGCCGCCACAATAATAACCCTTTTAGATAGTTGGATACGTCCAAGTTGCTCTAGCGATGAAATCGAAAACCGAATTTGAAGGCAGCGACATGAATGAAAGGATAGGCTGGAATTGTTCAAGCTTCAAAAAAATTGCTTCCAAATATTGTCCTGAGACAATGAAAAAGATTTGCAGTGCTTGCAGCATAATTCAAAGTAATCTCGCTTGTAGATTTCTCCACACATTCTTGTATATTTTTCCTTTTGGAATGTATTTCTGACTGAAATCTTCTTTCCTTAGGCATTTAACGATGCATTGCTAATTAAATGGTGTGCCATTGTCTAACTAGGCAACCCTCTTGTAAATGTTAGGGGTATCTGCAGTGCTTTGCTGGAGACTCTTGTGGGGCCACTTTCGACTATCTCTCGCGCAAAATTTCGGATAGATCGCTTGCTCTTCGTCGTGTGGATTTGTCGCTTCTCTGTTTCTGGTGCATGTTTTTCTTCATTCTCTTGTGTCGCTTGCCCGTCCCTGTCCGAGCACATTGGCACACTTTGCTTGCTGTTGTTTTCTTTTGCTGGCCTTGCTATTGCTTTTCCATTCTACTCCTGGTATTCTTTGTGCCAGTGCTGTATTATTCCTCTCGTTAAGTGGTGGCACCTTCTCTGCTTCTCTTCTCCCAATTTTCGCTGGGCTGCTTTGTTTTTCATGGTGTCTGTCAAGTGCAGTGTACCTCACTATATATATTTTAAATATTCTGGTGAATTTCCTTTCCCTGTGTGTTTGATGCATTAGCTTCAGCGCTTCATTCCAGCAAACATTAGTCACTGTTGATAAACAGTCGCCACTGCTGGTATTGTACGAAAAAAAAAAAGTTGTTTTAAAAGGGGCACTGACATAAAAACTTTAGCCTCAGCGTTTTATTGCTGCACTGTGTTGCTGGGGGCCTATTAGTCATAATACAACACATCGTTTTATACAGTGCACGACAGATAAAGAATTACAGGTACCTCATTATCGGCCAGCTTCAGTTTCGATTTGAGATTACTCCAAAAACGAGAAGCCACTGGGTGCAATTATCACCGTGCAACTCTTGACCATGTCAGTACAGAGAACTGTGACACATTTTCGCGTGGTCTGCATCAAGAATTACTTTCGAATAAGAAACGGGACTGCAGTGTCGCAAAACACAAAACTTTCAAAGCGTGTGCCACTGCCACGCACTCGCGATAAGCCGCCGAGAAGTATAGACTGCGGGAACAAACCCAGCAAAAGAAAAGTGGTGGCTATGATTTCATTATAATTTGTTTTATTGACTGCAGCGTGCTGATGTGAGGGAAGTTGCGAGTCCCCAAAGGGTCCCCTTCGAGGGTATCAATAGCGCGATAGAGTCGAGCGCTGACGCAAGCTTCAAAATTAATTTAATATACCAACCAAGCTATATTCACTATTGATATTTTGCAGATGATATACAAATGTTCACAGAAATCGACCCAGCAGGCTATCTCGGCCGCGAAATTTTGTGTCAGTACTCCTTTAAGCTTTTCAGTGAAATTTTCCTTGAAAATTATTCCTTTTTGTTCATATTATATTGTATTGACTGTGCATTTAATAAATAGTTTCTGTTAGTAATGGGGAATAGTATATTTATGGTTTGAAATTTGGTTGAATAATTTTGAATTGAATAGTCCACATGCTCTATGTCATATTTTAATGAAAAAATGAGCATTTTCCCCATGGGCTGCACTAATTTGTACAACTATTTTTAAGAATAAGAACAAGGCTTGTGCAAATATTACTTTCTTTTGCTTCAAAATGAAGCCGAAGTAAATTTGAGTAATAATGATATTTAAATCACAGTAGTGTGCTAGGCGTAGGCAGTGGAATACATTACATTTTAAAATTTGCCATACTTAGTCCACAAAATCCTGAAGGGAAGTGATACGGGACTTTTGGTATTTATAAGAAATTGAACGGGGGGGGGGGGGGGGGGGGTAATACACAGACCTAATCTTGCAGCTTTACAGCAGTACACATTTTTCCTAAATAGGCAGTTTTATGGCTTATCAGTCAAAAGCTGCAGTGAAATCACTTTTATAGGCAGGTTACACGTGGTAAAGGTCAATACTTTTTCTTTTCGAGTACTTTGAGATTTGGCAAAGTTTACATTTGTGTCGAATCGAATTGCGTGATGTTTTTCTTCACTGGTATTTTTTTTTCCTTTGGTTAGCCTGAAATGTAGTGTTTTTCAGGTGAACGTAGGCGTTTCTTTCTGATTGTAGGCTATGAACCGAAGGTGGAGGCTTATCTACACTCGAACCTCGATACAGTCGAACGCCTTTATAAGAGACACTGATTTATATAAGAGACAAATGGGCATAAGAGACACTCGTTTGCCTACAGTGAAATATGTGTATATAAAAAATGTATACCAGGCACCCTGCTTATAAGACATCTCATATAAGAGACAATTATTGCTGCCCAGAGCATGCCTCTTATAAAGGAGTTTAACTGTATCATGAACCTGGTTATAACGAAATATCGGTTATAACTAAGTCAATTTAGAATAGTTTTGTAATACATATAGTATTGTTCAGAATACACCTAGTAAAACGAATTTACAATTATACCAGAGGTATTTTTGTGCAAGATCAGACTGTTATAATGAGGTTTGAGTGCCAAAGTACTTTGCCTTATGTTGCGTAGGCCCGCATAAGCAACAAGATCGTGGCACTTAAACATTCATTGCACTTCGACAGTTTTTTGGTACGACTTACGTCGGTTTCGTCTGTCGCAACCACCGTTTGCAGATACGATTTCAGCATGAAGTATATCCGGAGGACACGTACTACGCCGTCACGACAGGTGCTGCTCATCCAGGACGTCGAAGTCCGGGATCGGCTGGCTTCATCGCGGATCAACAAGTTTCTTTACCAGTATGCCTCGGAGGCCAAGCCGAGGCAGTCTCATGCCAACATGGTCAGTGGAAACTTTTCCTTTTCATCCATCGAGCTTCCTTCCCAGTGTACAGCCACTTTGTAGTGAAGTGATAACCGAGGCATGATAGGTCCATGCAGAACTTTTGTTTATTTTGCATATGCAATGATAGAAAGAATAATGAAGAAAGCACTCGCAGGGACACAGGTTAACGGGACAAAGCACAACATTTAGCAGTTTAATTTTTATGCATTGCTCACATATCTTACTACTATGATGTCTGCCTTGTACCCGACACATTAATACTGTTTAAAGTTGTACTTTGTCCTGTTAACCTCTGTTTGTCAGATTACAGTGGACTCCCAATGAACGAAACACGCTTAAACGAAAATGCCTCATTAACGCAACTAAATGGGCTCATACGGCTGGATTTTTATGTGTTGCGCAGTAAAATTAATCGGGTAATCGAAACAGTGCTTATTGGTCACCTCCGGTTTAACGGCACAAACTCTAAACTCAGCATTGACTCACTCAGGCCAAAGGTAGTCTGGCAACCACGACAGCAACTCGAGACAAGCCAGTCGTAGCCATTCTCACTTGTGGCGGCTGTGGGAGCCGACCGAGTCGGCGAGTCAGTTGTGTGTTAGGCCTATTTGTGCGAGTAAGTGTGGTGGATCATGGTGTTATTTCAGCCCGATGGAAAAGAATCGACCCCACCATGCACTCTCGCTTGAAAAAAAAGTTGAAAATTCTTCAGGAGCGGCCTGCCCAAGACGGAAGTGGCGTAAAAAATACAACATCCCGAAATCGACGCTGTCGCGGATCTGCAAAGGTAGAGAAAAGATTGAAGGCGCTGTAAAGAACGAGACCTTTGCATCTAAATGGATGCTGACGATGCCTTATGAACAACTAGAAAAAGTTCTTTTTCTGTGGTTCAGCAGTGCACAAAGTTCGAATTTGCCCATAAGTAGATCAATTCTCCGGCAGAAAGCTCGAGAGATTCGCTATGCAAACGGGTGTTGCGAACTTCGTCCTAAGCGACGGATGGCTCAGCCGCTTCAAAGCACGCCATGGCCTAGTGTTCAAAGCAATCTCAGGTGAGAGTGCTGCAGTCAATAGGGACATTTGCACCAACTGGCAAAAGGGGGCCGAAGAAAATTTTTGATGAGCTGTGAGCTACGAGACGTCTTAATGTCGACGAGATGAGTCTTTTTTCATAAGGTGCTTCTATCAAAGACTCTCACCTTCTAAGGCGAAGCCTGTAGTCGAGGAAAACCTGCTGGTGGGTGCCAACAAGGCAGGAGATGAAAAATTGAAGCTGTTGGTAATAGAAAAATTAAGGCACCCATGTTGTTTCAAAGGCGTTCGACACCTTCCCATTGCGTACCATGCGAACGGAAAAGTGTGGATCACCATGGCCGTTTTAAAAAACTGGCTACTAGAGGAAGACGCAAGATTTACGAGGCAAGGCAGGAAGGTTGTCTTCATCGTGGATAATTGCAAAGCCCACGGTCAGGTTGACTCCAAGCCATCACTGTGGAGTTCTTGCCATCCAATGCACAATGGCAGTGATCCAGCTGATGGATCAAGGGGTTATTCAGAACATTAAAGTTTATTACCGCAGACAATTGCTCCATCGATTGCTGCTGTGTGCAGACAGCGGGAAATGCTACAGCATAGATTTATTGGCAGCCATCCACATTTTGGCCCGTGCCTGGGAGCAAGTGAAGGCAACAATATACAGATGCTTTCATCATGCTGGCTTTCAAGTGCAAGAAGCAGTACCTGATGAAAAAAAAGCCCTGCTGATGCCGGCATTGAGGCAGTATTCAGTGAGGTCATGCCGTCTGCCCCTTTCATGCTGCAGGACTATGAATCAATTGATGGAAAATGTTCATACCTGTTGTGAGGAGACTGTCGAGGAAATGGTTGCCGAAGTGCAAGATGAGGATTAACCTTCAACGCTGAATGTGGGGACGATATTGCCAGTGTAGTGGTGCCACCAGACCGATCAGCTAAAGAGGCTGTTGAACTTTCGCAGCGCTCTTTTGAGCCAAAGGCTTGTCCAAAACTTCTGGCTAGTTTGTCGGGCATGGGTGGGTACCTTGTGAAAAAACAACTCAAGCTTGCCAAACAAACCACCTTTCACTTCTTTTTTTTCTCCCGCTCATCTCATGGGTACGGTGAGGTTTGTGCAATTTGAATAAAAGTTTTGATTCACTAAATAAGTGTACTTTGCTCAAACGAAACTTCTGATAAATGGAACAGTTTTATGAATTTCTTTGAGTTTCCGTTTAAGAGGAGTTGACTATATCTTCTCTATTGCAATTCTTTCAATCAGCGCATAAGCAAAATCTTCTGTAGAGTCAATGTATTCTCCCGCCACAGCATTTTCTCCTTGAATCGCTTCCAGACTAAAGTGTGTGCACAACTTTAGTGTGTGCAGTATCTTAGTGCATCATTCAAGTATACGCAGAGGCTTTTCCCTGCTTTCTGGACGATTGCAGTAATGCATTTTCAAGTCTTGTCTAGTTACATACACTTTTTTTCGTGTGCAGCGAGTGTATTGCCATGTAAATGTTTAGAAAGGCAATGAGTCGACAATTATGGTGCTGCTGAGAAGCTATGTGAGCAGCAATGTTGAACACACTTTGTTGATCCAATAACAAATAGTTGTGTTTGCCTGGTTGATATTTTCTGCTGGTGAGTGGTGCAGCCCATCTGGCCTCTCGCATTCACACCTCTGCTAACCTTGTAAAATGCAAACACTAAGAAGGATGTCGGTAAGCTAAAAATTGTAACATTTGGAGATGTTCGAAGCTGCAGTAAGTCCCTGTTAGCTTTGCTCTCACGAGAGGAAGAGCGTGGGTAAAGCCAAAAATGGGTGAGAAGAAAGCCTAGCGAGCGATAGTTAAGGATACTGAAGAAGAATAGGACAAACTGACGAAAGCATCGAAGTTATACTCGGCAAGTGAGACTGTTCGGATAAACAGAATTAAGTTTGCGTATTTTTGGGCAGTTGTGTGCATTTTTAGTGGATTGTCGACGCGCAGCGGCTGCACTGCGAGCGCAAGTCGTGACGTTGCACCTCTACTTTCATCACGCCTCTCCCCCTTCCACTAAAGCGCGGATCCTTTGCTCATGGTGCTCATAGCATTGTTTGCTCATGGTGCTCATAGAGTCGAGACGCGTGCAATGGCTGGCATTGTTGGATAGCCTGTTTTGGGCGGGTGGGACGTCGCCTCCTTTAGTTTGCTGCGCAGTCGTTAAGTGCGGCAGTTTGTGAAAACTGCATTAAATTCATTATTTTCCTGTAGTTTCTGGCTGAAATGAAGGTTGTGTGTATTGATTTTCAGACCTAATCTTTCAATTTGGTTGTAAATCTTGGCTGCAAAAATTTTGTTCCCTATCTTTTAAGCCTGGTAGAGAAAGGGTAGTGAGGTGGAGAGGGATAAGGTGGGTAGAGAGGAGGAGAGCCAAGCCAAAGCTGTGGTGGGAGTGGAGCAGGTGGTGTGGAGAGGAGGAAAGACCTGGAACATGATTGGCTGTGCATGTGAAAGGAGTCAACCAATGGCAGCGTGCGTTCGAGCTCAGGCGGTGCTGTTGAGAAAGGAGGAAGGGCGCATCGAGCATTGACAAAAATGGAGGAAAGGCACACTGATGCCACAAGCTCTATTGTTTATTCAGCCTTCGCTACGTCAAGTCAATTGGAGCTCCACATACTTTTGTTATCTCACTGTGAGTCTAATTGTGACTGCATTGTGTAATTGGTAGTTTTTGTATCTCACAGCTTTATTGTGTGTTATCTGGGACAGCGCCGAACCAGCAAAGGCTGAGAATAAGACCTGGAAAAGTCGAATATGGAAGCAGGAAGAAGGCAGCAGTGCTCATTAAAGATTGGCAGTATCGAAAAAAAAAAGTTATAGCAACAATAGGGTGGCTTTAATCTGGGCATGAGATTGTTGTTGTGCATGATGACAGCACTACTAAATAGGGCACAATAATGTAGACATACTGTAGAACCGTATAGGCTTGGGCAATTTGGAATGCTTTTGTTTTCGTGATTTGGTAGCACAACACTGACAGACAAAAAAGAACATTGCATCTCTTTTAGTGTTAAACGACCAAATGATCAAAATGAAATGTCCGCATACACTCATGATGGGCTACTGAGGTCAAAACGTGTAAGAATCCATTGAATTAACGGAGTTTCCTCATTTTTCTGGTTACCAATCATGTAGCTCTTCCTACTGTTGCGCTTGGTGTAAACCTGCTAGTCTGATTTTCTATTCTATTGAAATTGCCATTGTGATGTGAAGTGAAAATCTTAGATTCTGGAAGCCTGACTTTGTGAAGCTCTCACGGCAACAAGTCTCACTCGAGTCTTACTGCCTGCAATATTTATTTTACTGTCAGAAATATTTGTAGACTTTTTAATGGGTGCTCACGATTGCAGCCTGCATGAAACGTCCAGGCAGGGATAGTAAAGGAGAATGGTACGAGCAAACAGCTCGCTTGTTTGGAGGAGGTGTCACGGCAGCGTGCTTTGTTCTGCCTTGAAGCTCATATTTCTTGCCGCGGCCTCCTATTTCTGCGTGAGACCCTTAAGCTCTCTGATGTTCTGTTGTAGCAATCTTGTGAAACTTTCTTCTGGTGTTTGCAGGTCAGTGTGAAGTGTGTCCGTGTCAGGCCCGACCTCAAGGCTCCGTCAGCCGAGGAGTGCCAAATAAGGGTGTCCGTGAAGCCTGTGAAAATCAATGCAGACCAGGTATCGAAACCTTTTGAATTATAAAGGAGTGCACGATAACATTCAGGTCATTGCATTCTAAACACATTACACTCCTTCTTGTTCTTTTACGTCATCATCATCAGCCTGACTACATCCACTGCAGGACAAAGGCCTCTCCCATGTTCCGCCAGTTAACCCGGTCCTGTGCTTGCTGCTGCCAATTCATACCCGCAAACCTCTTAATCTCATCTGCCCACCTAATCTTCTGTCGCCCCCTAACCCGCTTGCCTTCTCTGGGAATCCAGTTAGTTACCCTTAAGGGGGGACGCGCCCTTTGAAAACCGAAAAATCGCGAAAAAGTCGATTTTTTGAAAACCACATACTCGGGCAGTATGACTCATAAACGACCTCTACTGTAAATATCAATGTCTAATTCATCGCAAAAGTACGTCAAATAAATTTTATAACATGCCGCGGCAGCCGGCAAGCGGCGAGCGAGCGCCAAAAATACCCCAACTTCGCGCGCTCGCCATTTCCCAACCGCTCGGCCGATCGCCGCCATCTTGATGTTGTTTTGCTCGTGAATTCTTGCGCTTTTTTTTTTCGCCACCCGCGGCAGTGACGGTGGCGCTCCGAGGCGGGAGTCGCTCACGATTGGGGGGCTCGCGGAAGCTTTCGAATGTCCCGCTGCCTGGATGCGAAGCCGCGATTGGACAAAGCACGCGCCTCTCGAGGGAATGGGGGAGCGCGCGGCTCCTATTGGCTGCTGCGCGCGATGACGTAGCTGCTTCTCCGGCATGCGCCGGCTCGTCGTCTGCACCGGCGCTTGCAATGCCGGCGTTCTTTGTGTGCCCGTTTGCCATCATTCCGATCGGTCGTCACACGTGCTCCTCTATCTTTCACCGTCTTCGCGAGACGATCTTCTACCGTCTTCACGAGACGATCTTCTACCGTCTTCACGAGACGATCTTCTACCGTCTTCACGAGACGATCTTCTACCGTCTTCACGAGACGATCTTCTACCGTCTTCACGAGACGATCTTCTACCGTCTTCACGAGACGATCTTCTACCGTCTTCACGAGACGATCACTACCGTCCTCACGAGACGATCTTCCGCCGTGTTCACGGGACGCGGATTGTTGCGCTGACGGTCACGATGGGCATTTCGAAGTTCAAGACTCGGCACGCGTTCGGTTCAAGAAAGCGTCAGCTGAAGCTCGTACGCATGGCGAAGCTCACCTGCACGCCCACGCGCGGCGACAGTTGCACCGATGCTTCCGTTTCATCTTTTCAAGACGATTGCGTCGACGCTTCTAGCGACAAGACTTCTACACCATCGGCACAAGGATCCGTCGTGACGAGTGAGGCTGGTGTTTCGTGCTCAAGTGCGCCTGGTGTGTCGCGCTCGCCAACCGCATTGATTCCGGCCCCGAACAGTGAGACCGCGTGGTCGACTGTGCACTTCCAAACACGTTTTCGGACGTGCGAGGAGTTGGCGACGGCGGAGAGAGAACGTGCTGCTGTGCAACGAAAGCTTGGTGCTATGCCAGCGACCGAGAGGAAGTTTCAAGCGATGATGCCTGAACCCGAAGCTGCCACCGCTACGACCGAAGGCGAGAGATATTTCCTCGTGCAAGGGGATGCCCTTAGCGACATGCTGTCCAAGACCCCGTGCCCGCGCTGCCTCGCGACCGGGATGAAAGTTCAAGGAGGCACCCAGCTTGGACTTGCCACGAAGCTTGAGCTGGTATGTCCACATTGTGGAATAGTTTCAAGTTCGTGGAGCTCTGCTCGTCAGAACGAGTCAAGGGCCTTCGACGTGAATATAAGAGCCATTACAGCCATGAAACAAATAGGGAAGGGACAGACAGCCCTCAACGACTTTTGGGAAACTATGAATGTTTCCCATCGTGGCCTGCACCACAGAACTTTCCAGAGGCACCTGAAGCAATTCAGAGAACCACAGCAACAGACCCTGGATAAATTCTATGAAGAATCGGCTTCTGCTGTGAAAAAGGTGTACAAGGAGATGGACCCATCTTTCTGCAAGGACATTACAGTGAACTATGATGGCATATGACATAAGCGCGGACATACATCTCACATTGGAGTTAGTGCAATCATCGAGTATCACACAGGCCTCATCTTGGATGCTGTAGTTTTATCGAATCAGTGTCTCGGCTGCCAGGTAGGACTGAAGCCTGAAGACGAGGGCTATGCAAGCTGGTTGAAGCACCATGTGTGCCAAAAAAACACTGATGCCAAGTCTGGGAGGATGGAGGTTGAAGCAGCTGTAACTCTGTTCTCACGTTCACTGTCCAAGCATAACCTCCGGTATACAACCATTGTATCTGATGGGGACAGTGCCACATTCTCTGCCCTTAAACAAGACAATGTTTATGGGCTAGTCCCTATTGTGAAAGAAGAATGCTTGAACCATGTCCGGAAGAGGATGGGCACAGCCATACGTCATCTTGTGCAGAAAAGCGAACAGGCTCTGGGAGGGAAGGGCAGATTGACAAAAGCCCTTATTGATAAACTCACAGACTATTATGGCTGGGCACTGCGGAACAATTCAAACAATGTGGCTGCAATGCAGCGTGCAGTGATGGCGTCATATTATCACGTCACCTCAACTGACGAGGATCCTCACCATGACTTGTGCCCGGAAGGTGCAGACTCGTGGTGCCGTCATAATGCCTGCAAGGGGAATGGCGTGCCACCTCCAAAGCACAAATACAATCTTCCGGGCTACGTTGCAGAAGCGCTGCTGCCAGTCTACCAGCGCCTTTCGCAGACTTCTCTACTGCAACGCTGCCTGGGAGCAAAGACGCAAAATGCATCGGAGTCATTCCATTCTGCCCTATGGTCCTTGATGCCCAAGGAGCAACATGCATCATTGATTGCTGTCGAGACAGCACTGCATGACGCAGTTTTGCGGTATAATGCCGGCTGCTACAGGGCCACCCAAGAGTTGTCGTCATCAGTGGGACTCGCACCTGGCCACCTAACCATTCAACGAGCTGCGGAGAAAGACTCTCTGCGTCTGAGAAAGGCTCAGAAATGGATGAATGAGAAGCAGGAAAAGCGGCAAAGAAAAAGAGAGCCTAAGGACACATCTAGCTACTCTGCAGGGTCATTTTAGACCATAATAAATGTTTGAAACTTTCGAAGTCAATTTTTTCAGAATGACTTTTTTGGCCAGTGAGGCTGCTTAGTCAGGTGATCTCTCTGGAACTGCTGGTCTGACTTCTATCAGGTTTTTTTTATTATGCACCTTAATAAATTGCCCAGGGCAAGACAAGCCCGCTTTTTCAATTTATTGTGTCTGTAATTTGTAATAATTAACTAAAACTTCATTGATGAGAGCCAAATTGTGAACACTAAATTCAGTGCTCTGCTAACATTTTTTGGCAAGGAAATTTAAAAAAAGGGCTCTGTCTTGCCCTAAAGCACCTATCCAGGAATCATCATTGTGAATTTCACAGTGCTAGCACATTTTTCAAATTCTCCAGACCCTGACTAAGGGACCCATGTGGACTACCCTGATAAATGGCTGTAACTTGGGAACCAGTGAACATAACTGCATGAAACTTTGTGGTTATTCAAATGGCTTTGCTATTAGTGTACCCTGAAAATTTCGTTAAGATATCTCAACAAACAAAAAACTTGCCCTTCCAAGGTAGCTTCCCCCCTTAATGACCAGCGGTTATCCTGTCTATGCGCTACATGCCCGGCCCATGTCCATTTCCTCTTCTTGATTTCAACTATGATATCCTTAACCCCGGTTTCTCCCCTAATCCACTCTGCTTTCTTTTTGTCTCTTAAGGTTACACCTGCCATTTTTCTTTCCATTGCTCGCTGCGTCGTCCTCAATTTAAGCTGAACCCTCTTTGTAAGTCTCCAGGTTTCTGCTCCATAGCTAAGTACCGGCAAGATACAGCTGTTATATACCTTCCTCTTGAGGGATAGTGGCAATCTACCTGTCATAATTTGAGAGTGCTTGCCAAATGTGCTCCACCCCATTCTTATTCTTCTAGTCACTTCAATCTCGTGGTTCGGCTCCGCGGTTATTACCTGCCCTAAGTAGACATAGTCTTTTACAACTTGAAGTGCACTATTACATAGTCGATAACAAATGCCTTATTGGCGGGGGGGGGACAAAGAAACAAAACATTTATACAGTCTGCATATTTGTTAACTGTATCATCCTCCCTCTCTACTTTATTTTTCTGAAATCAAAGGAAGGTTTGAAATTATCACCGTTGTTTTTTGTGTATTCAGAAGGTGAACCGATTCCGGATTTGTCACAGACGCGGAGTGAATCTGCGCACAATTCGGCAGCAGGCACACCCACACAGTACATTTTGGGGGAATGAAAAGGTTGCTTTGGGGGAATGAAAGGCCCTTACACCTATGTTTCTCATGCTTGCACTTGTAAAAAAGGGGCTTTTATAATGCTCGAAACACATCAGTGTACTCGTTGGCAGTTTACTAGGGAAAGACATTTGTGGAAATCGAGATGCGAGCATCTTTATTTTTATTTTTCCCCTCTTTGTACAGGATGCTGTGCTTTTCCTGGTCCAGTTCTTTACGGGCTTGTGTGCAGAGCCACCGACCTCTCCATCCTCGCCGCGACCAGAGTCTCCCGAGTTTGCAACATTGAAAGGTTAGATGTGTTAAAGATGATTCTTTTCTGGTCCGATTGGTTAATTCTTGAAGAAGTCGTTGTATAGTAGACTCCATTGAAATGAAACTCTCTTAAATGAAATTGCTGCTTAAATGAAACAACTGCCCCTATTTGTTCAGTTTCCTACTTGGATATTGTACCCCTGTTTATCTCTCAGTAAACGAAACTCCTCATAAAGAAAACATATTTTTCTGGTCCCTTCAGGTTTCGTTTAAAAGTAATCTACTGTAGTGCTAAAATAAGCAGTGCATTAGCGATACTTTTATCTGTCATTTAGAAATGAGATGCAATTCTCGAAACTATTTTCTTTGCCATGATGAATTTGAGTCCGTGCTACTTTTGTGAATGAATGGTTTTTTTTAGTTTTCTGTTGGTGTAATGAATCAGTTGTGAATGTAGTGCCGTAGTGTCTGGTACTCTTTTTGAGTTTGTTTTAGTTTTGAACTACGATGACCTATTCAAGGTCAGATGGGCATTTCAGCTTGGTTTTGGTTGTTTGATTTGTACTTGTTTCGGCAACATAAGGTGTGCCTTATGTTACTTGCTGTTACTTGCTTAGTTACCTGCTGTAGACTTTTAAACAGCAAAGTGAACAGCGGTCGTTTTCTGTCTCACTCCAACTCTTTTGAAGCTGACAAAAGAGACAGTTTTGCAAAGGCAACCTGGAAGTTAAAAAAAAAAGGCGCAGGTTGCTTTACTGTTAAAACGAGACAGCTAACGGAAGTCTTTGATGCTGTGAAGGTGATTTGCTTACAGTGAAGTGCAGTCATGCGTTCTCCTGCTCTTGAAAGGAGTGAATATGAAAAAAAATGACTTGTGTATTGCGTACCTTTCTCTTGTTGACATCGGGGTATGATTGTGTCAACATCACACAAAAATTTGTTCAGGACACTCCTGATTTCTGACCAATCATTCAGCTTCTACGGGCACGACCATGAATGCCCTGAAAGCCCCCAACCCTCTTTAAAAATATTGATGCAAGATGGCAGTTACAGTATAGACTGCTTATTACGTAAGTTGCAGGAGTCTCTAATATCCACACTATAAGTGGTGCTGCACTATAACCAAGACAACCTTTTTCGAGGGCCGCTTTTGTGCAAAAGGTGTTGAGCATGCAGCTTGCGTGTCGGGGAATCGAAGCACGCGATGTGTAGCGCTTACAAGTGCATTAATTTCCAAATGCGAAAGTTTTAAAAATTGAACGTCCAAAGATATGGGTTGCCAACAAAAAGAATGCGAAAGGGGGGAGGGGGGGTCTAACAAAAGAAAGCACCATCGCGGAAGTTCACTGACTACTTCTCAGACCGCTGCTATTATGAGCATCACACAGAACCTATGTCGAGTCACGTCTGGAATTTCACGCTCTGAAAGACCCCAACCATTTGATTTCACGGGCGTGCATCTGATTTCAAGACATCGCAATCAAATCGCGAAGAATTGTTGGAGTGCTTCACGTGCCACCCTCATTTTCATTAATGATGTGTGTCCCTTCCCGTCAAGTGCGGCCACCACAAAGAGCTTCGTTGATTTCGCAACTTACCGTATTTACTCGCATAATTCTCGCACTTTTTTGCCAGAAAACCGATGCAAAGTTGGGGGGTGCGAGAATTACGCCGGGAATACTTTCCACGAAAATGTACAGAGCGAAAAAGAAAACGAAGTGGCCGGAAATCGGGATTCTCATCCCAGCAACTAACAGCAAGCTTTAAGAAGTACTAATTAAAACTTACCTCAACAATAAAAGCAGAGGTTCAACACAAGGCAAGATTTATTTGAGACGCTAAAAGTGCAAGCAAATAGTCGAGAATTAGAATACCATACGCAAAGCTTGTGGGTGTTGCGGGCGTAATGATAGCTTTTGTCGCTCAACAGGAGCACTCAAAAGGTAAGCGCAGGATGTCAGTATTAGGCTGATAGCTATTTAACAGAATCGTCCGCAGTTTCCTTCTGAAGAAATAAAGTTTACCATCAATCTTAGTTTTAGGCACACGGCAGGCCCAACGCGTCTCCGTGGCTTTCAGCTGCCGTCACCAGTAGCGAACACAAAATACGTAGACTCCGAAGGGCCTACCGGGGGCCTGTTGCCGTTGTTTAGTGCATGATCTATCACTTGCAACTTGAAGCAGCCGTGTGGCTTCTATATCGCCCCATAACGTGCCAAAATTACCAACACAACATACAAAACATGCCGCAACGCGCACTGGCCACTTTGGCTTGGCTTGGATTGAATTGAATCTCTGTGCAATAGTACGCTTGATGGTTAAGAGATGGCGCGAGATGGTGTGTGCTATCATCATCAATGGTTCAAATGAGCAGACGGCATTTTTGTGGCAGTTTTCGGGGGTGCGATAATTACTCAAGGAAAAAAAGAAATCGTATTTTTGTTGGGCGATGTGGGGGGTGCGAGAATTATGCGAGTGCGAGGATTACGCGAGTAAGTATGGTAACCACTTTTAAGTGCGTCGAACGCCGATTAGGCCTAGCCTGCCTGGTATGTTGTTGTGGGAAGTTTGTCCAAGACATGAAGATCCGGCGTTAGAAAGATCGTACCCAAGCACTGAATCAAGAACAGTGCGCCGTAGCACAATGTGCCGTATGTTGATCTTCTAACCACCAACCCGAAATTTGTATCACAATTTCGCGTTCACAGTTGGGAGATCAACGACGAAAACCCACCAAACTTATGTAAGACAGCATACTGGCAGTAAAGGTAGAAGCTCACGCCATGAAACCTTAAAAGTTTTTAAATGTACGTGCGAGGTAGCAAATTCGATATTTGTAGCAAGCTCAATAATGATGACCCTTTCTTCGATAGGGAACTGTTAAACACTGTTACTAAGGACGGGATCGCTCGCGCCATGTAGAGTCGCGCGCGACCGAAGCCACGCTAGCGGCGCATGCACTATAGCCACCTTGGCGCTAAGCCGACGAGCCCGCGCAGCAAGCCGGGGTCTTTTTTCCCTTTTCTTCCCCGTCCTTTGTTCATTCACTCCACGTCTCCTTCGTAATGACATCGTGGCTCGCTCTCCAGCGGCACCCAGCGCACCTCCTTTCAGACGCGCACTCGCTACCGCGATTGTGACAAATATTTTTTGGCAACCGCATTATAACCGGTCTCTCACCCTGAGGGACTGCGCAATAAGCGGTATGCATATACAAGGGGTTCTATGGGAAGGTAAACGGAAGTTGCAAAAGACTACACTGTTCCCGGTTCTGCACTGCAAGCGATTACTTTACGAGGGGTCTACACTGTATAACAATTTCTGGCCTTGCACCTCTGTCAGAGGGCCTACAAGACACGAAGGTGAAAATCCTTCCTTCTTCCTAGAGATTTAAGAGAGGGGAGGGCACTTCCAGTTGTGCTTTTAATCGAAGTAGTTATGACAGTGTTTTTGCACGTAGCCTTCAATATTTATGGCTTGACGGGTCATCTTGAATCTTAGGGAAAAACTCTCAATACTATGCAAGCAATCTGTACTTTTATTTTCATATCATACTACAACCCTTGCGTATTATACGGCTGCCATTTTTGGCACTGCAGGACATAAAGAGTGTTCTTGAACAAATGAAAAGTCGCATTCACAGAAGTTAGTTTTTGCAATGTCACTTGTACGGCAGGATTCTGCAAGGCAACTTCACTGCAGTATACTAATGCCATTCAGTCAACATTATTTGGAGTGACCATTAATTCTTGCAGAAAACAGTTCTGTCTTTTTTTTTGTTACACTTTTGTGCACAAAGTACTGCATTATAAGCACCATTGTGATTGCTGATGTGTAAAAGCTTCACTGGCAATTATTGCGTAAGGTCATGACCTTGCGGTGTACTAAAGAGAATAAATAAAAACCGTATGGAAGCTTGCTCCTTTAGTGTTATTGCGGGCCACATCAGTGGCTGCATTTCAGTGGTTGGCAAAAATGCAGAAACTGGTTTAGTACTTGGATTACTCAAATTTAACTACATGTAAAGAAAACTGTAGATTGCGACCTCATCACAACACTTAAGTGCCTCAATATCAGATCGTATTTCTGGTTTGTAAAACTTGAGAATTCGATATTTTTATCAAACACTCTTTGTTATAGAAATGCAGTCAAAGCTCATTATAACAAACTGCCATTTTACATTAAGAAAAGTCGGTTACATTCTAAAATTCGTTATAAAGGGATAGTCCAAATACTTTATCTATTTCAAGACTTTTCTTCATTTGCTTCTTTATAACCGATGTTTTGTTATATCTGGGTTCGTTATATTGAGGTTTGAGTGTATCACATCTGCTATGCTTTCTGTGTTACCCTTCCAGCTGGGCCTGCTGTTGCAGCCAGCAGCCAGGCATCTGCCGACCCTGGCCGACACGTCGCCTTTGCAACTGACGACCCGTGCCCACCCGAGCGCATCATTTCGCCAGCTGGCTCAACGTCCAACTCAACCCCAATGCCACTGTACATAAGGTAAGCAAAGATTCGTTGAAATATTCTTGGGAAACGGCCATAATCAAAGGAGTGAGTTATGACACCAAAAGGGCAAGATTTTTGCCCACCTGATTTGCAATACAAAGCTACAGACAAAGCTGATGCGTGTTTCTAATAAATAAAGCTTTTTCCTTAAAAGAAGTTAAGCACCAGAATGAATTCCTTGATTTGCCTTGACTCTACTCATGAGAAATCCGTTGAAGTTCCTTTTTTCTTGTCCTTTGTAGCTCCATGCTACGAAATGTTGCATTTTCTTTTCTCATTTACGAACCTTTGTCCAACCTGTGGGCCTGATTTACCAGGACGGGACATATTTACGCATATGATGAACTTTGCATGAACGCGAGACTTGCACTTTTATACACAGATCGTTTGTCACTGTAAAAGTACTTTAGGTATAGTACTGTTCAACCTGCTTATAAGGAGCCTCCACGTAACGAATTCCTCTATATAACGAAGTTTTTGAAGCTTTCGTATTTCCCGCTGTTGCGTAGAGACACATGTATTTGTGACCTCTCTGTAACAAAGTAATAGTGGGAGAGATCCTTGATATAACGAATTTTCGCCATGGACAAACCAGGTATTTTTGCCATAGACTCTGTCATTTTGGCACGAGCATGCATCTACCACGAGTGCCCCGCCGTAGACGAAGCACCACGCTCGTAGACACGGCTACACCCAGGCGAGAGCAAGCGCTCGTTATTGCCTACGAGATGGCGTTGCCGCCGCAGGCACACGCGTGGGCGTGCCCTTGCCTCCCTGCAAACCAGAAGGCTGGCAGTGCCACGCTTTTAGTCGGCATCATAAATGTGGGGTCACGCTGCATATGAAGGAGATTTTACCGAATAGTTTTCCATGGTATCAGTGTCATTCAGTTAGATATAGAGGAAGAATTTGCCGACTGACCAATATCGATTATTTTCAGGGTTAAGCAACTAGGCAAGGACATTCTTTCACGTTAACACCTTTACTTTCATGAAGTAACTGCTTTAAATACTGTTTTTTTTTCATAGAACTATTGTTGATTAAAGTAACCTGCCCGAAAATATCGTAACACAAGCCTCGCTTTCTTTGTTTGAAAAATATTTGTAGTAGCTTCTTAGCACCGTTGAATATACTTCTCTTTTATCATTTGTTCCAATTTATTGCATAATCTTGTTCAGTTTGACAAATTTTCTCTTTAAGATTTTATTCTTTTCTTTGTTTATTCAGCTTGTTATTGTACTCTTGCTTTTTACGGTTAGTATTTGCTGTTAAGTTTTGTTGTGTTCTTGTCCATTTTCTTAGCCTCAATGTTTTACCTGTATGCATGACATTTTTCACTTTATGCATTTTCTTTTAATACTATTGTACCTTTTTCTTTATATCATGTATCAATGTTTCACACCTGCTATAGTCTCTGCTTGAGAGTGCAGTGTCAATAAATAAAATGAAAATTCTCTCTTCATTTTTGACGGCATGCACGCATGCATGGTTTCAGTGCGTGTGCGAGGAGTGGCCCTCCTACAACGTTCAGCTTTGCTTTTTTTTTTTTTAATGCGGACAATCGTGTCGTCACCACCGAGGGGATGTCAAATCGGGCGCCGATAGAAACTCTCCAAGTGCACGGTGACAATGACAGATCTTCCGAGGTTTACTTGTCACGCTCTTTGCCATCTTACACTGATATTCAGGTTTAAATGTACCTAGATGCTCCTTTTCGGTGCAGGTCGTTTGTGTTCACACCGGACGTCCCAATTCGGATAGACTACCACGGCAAGAGGGTAGCCATGGAACAGGCAAGTTTGAGCTTCTTTCGCATTCTGTGTTGAATCTAATTGTCGGGCACAGCCACAGCCACAAAGTGCTATTCTCGCCAGAACATGTTGGTGTAATCCCCTGAACAATTTGAAACTTTGCATGGCGACCCACTTGACACACTTCTGTGCAGCGCATCATCGAGCTCAGGCAACTTACCGTATTTACCCAATTCTAATGTGCACCCGACTTACATGACTCAAAAACGAAAATACGGTTATGGGGCAGTTTATATGGCTGTACCCGAATCAAACTTGCACGCGGTTTTAAGGTCTATTCTTCCCGAAAAATGCTGCGCATTGGAATTGGGCAAATATGGTACTCCTGAGCATCGTTATGTCAATAAAAATATACGGTGTTATTTCACTTTGTGCGTGCCATCTGCAATTGTGCAGTTTTTGCGAGCACAAAAAATTTGAGACCTCAGATTTCTTGTTTTTAAGGAGCCTTAAATTCAAGTGCACTACTTTTTTAAGCAGTCTTTTTTAAACTCTGCATGAAGTTTTCATGCAGAGTTTGTTATTGCTTACCTGCAACCATATTTTGTTTTTCTTTCCATAGGGAGCACTGGCAGGCCTGTTGATGGGCCTTGGTCAACTGAACTGCCTTGAGATCACCCTGAAAAAGCTACAAACGAGGCAGGGGTGAGTCTGAACTGTTCCTCATCCACATATCCCTTTCTTTAAAAAGAAAAATGAAGTGTGTTAATGCAACCGTCTATGGGTTCCCGGACAGTCTTTGTTCAATACAATAAAATCCCAATAATTCGGACTTCACGGGACCGTAGAGAATGTCCAAAATAACCGAGGGTATGAATTCTCGCAAGTACGAACAAAACTTTTGAAAAATGTCTCCTACACCGTCAGACCTTTATTTCTTAAGTCTGTGATCGCAGTTTGCTTCACGGACGCAATCTGTGACGAAGTCACAATTTTGCAAAGTTCCTGCTAGTAGCTTAGTTCGCGCACACTGTTCGAGTAAAGCATGCATATGTCCTCCAAAACGGCCAACGCATGTGCAGTCTTTGTCATAGTGTGGTGTGGACTCTCGTCAGTATCGCTTACGTCCTCATCAGCCGATTCCCCTTCGCCGTCCAAGACTTCGGCAACGATATCGCTGTCGGTCACCGTGCTGGCCACGGCAACATCGCTGTCAATTGCGAAGTAATCGCCCAGGGGCACATGAGCTGGCACGAAGCTCACATAGCGGCCGTCTTGCTTTTCACCGATTTCCTCATTGACCATCACCCCCGGATCAGCAGCGCCGTGCACGAAGCCACTATGCCTAAAGCAGTTTGCAACTACTGCAGGCGGTGTGTTGTTCCACACGTATGTCAGCATGTGGATTGCGCTTAGCAGGCTTACTTCGTACTGCTTGCCTGACTCCATGCAGAGCAACATCCACTCGAGTACGTGTCGTCGATAGTGGCTTTTCATAAACTGTACGATTCCCTGATCTGTTGGCAGCAGGGAAGCCATTGTGTTTGGAGGCAGGAATAGCAGTTCAATGTTCTCTAGGCCGGACACCATCGTGTGCGCACTATAGTTGTCTAGCACGAACAACACCTTCCGAGCCTTGGCCGCAAACGGTGGTTGAGCTGACGCAGCCAGGCTTGAAAGAGTTCGGCAGTCATCCAAGCCTTTCTGTTGAACCGGTAGTCGACAGGCAGCTGCTTAATATTCTCAAAACATACTGGCTTCGCAGCCTTCCCGATCACCAGCAGCAGCAGCCGCTCTGTGCCGGTCTTGTTAGCAGCCAGAAGAACTGTCACGCGCTCTTTACTTCGTGTTCCACCGACGCACAGGTCCCCCTTAAACGTGATTGTCTTGTCAGGCATAGCTCTATAGAACAGCGCTGTCTATCAGCGTTGAAAATTTTGCATGTCTCGTACGTAGAAAAGCGTGCAGATAGTCCAGACTGCCAGTCCTGCACAACACTTTGTGGGGTCTCCGCGAGGCGAACGAGCGCATCGCCACGCCACGCTCTTGGAGTGAATGGACACAGCAGACGCGGTCGGTACAAAGCACACAACATACATACATTTATTAACTAATTTAGACGACGATATCGTCCGCCGAATGTTACAATTTTAATTAACACGCTACCATACAAACAACCTAACGCAATGACACACTAAACACACAATAACATGATAAACACACACTAACACACACCCAAGGCGGCGTCCCCAACGCCTGACTTTTCACGTGGGACCTTGGCGCGAAGCCTGCGGTGCCGAGCACCGGGGACCCACGCTACAGACAACCGTTCGCGGCAGCCGCCACGCGCAGAAGAGGCTCGCTCAACTCTCGCCCACCACCAAGGCCTGCCTTCCGCCAGGGGCCACCGCCGGCGCTGCCACTCTACCAACAGTGGTACTCAAAGCGAACACAACGCCATCTATCGCCCGGCGGTGGTCACCGCCGAAATAAAGCCTTAGGGCGAGACACGTGTTCCACGCGGCGCAGACAACTTTATAGGGTAGGTGTCAGCACCCCCACATTCCCCCAACCTTAAATCAAACCATATCCCGAAATCAAAAATTGGCCACACAAAAAAAAAACAAAAAAATTATATCGCACGACCATAATGTCCTTGCACCACGACACCGCCGCTGGTCGACACTGCTGCACTGTCCGGCTAGACATCACCTCAGTACCGGCCCCGCAACAGCAACGTTGCCGCCGGCGCGACGATCCGTCGCTAGCGCCGACACGTCTTCCAGTTGCGACCAGCACTCGTGAGGGCGCCGGCTGCAGGCAGTTGCGCAGGTCCCAGGCATCTCCATCGCCAGACCTCACGACCGCATTCCTGGCCAGCGACGCTGACGATGTGCAGGCCAGCCGGCCGTGGATGAGATCCCTCCCGCTGAATACATCGATAACAACAACAACAAAAAAAACTTGACAGAAAACAATCGAGTAGGTCCTCGGGAAGGTAGCTTCGAGCTTTTCGTCCACGTGGTACGTTGGTCAGTACTGCTAGCTAATACATCGGTGGCGGCCAAGACGCCAATCAAAATAAAACAAAGATCACTTTTCCTAACTCGTGCTCACAAGAAAAAAAAAAAGTGAGGGAAGCAGAGCTCAACACCTCAACGCCACGATCCACCTAGTTGTGCCACGTGCGACAGGCAGCTGCGCAGAGCCTTAGGCCTAATGAGTCGCTCGGCAACAACCGGCATCTACCCTGCACCCAGCCTAGGCACAGAAGAGGCAGCCGCGAGGAGACGTCCACTCTTTGAGGTGGCCCTATCGCTCGCCGCACACAGCAGCTTACCGAGCGATCGGCGTCCACCGCCCCGGGCGGCGTCACGACACCCGGCTCCCTGAGCCCAAACAGATGGTAGAGCTATTTACAGAAAATCGGACCACCCACGAGGCTTCCATACTCACTCGCTTCGGGCCTGGCCTACAAACCACGTGCTCTAGGCCTTGCTCACCCCATGATGCGGACCGCATGGCTCTCGTCCTAATTCAACAACGTTTTTGAAAACTAACAACAACAAAAAAATAATAACACTTGCGAGCAAAAAAATAAATAGAAAGTCAACCAGCCGACAAATTCAAACACGTTACAAAACCAATCTTCTCGCTTCTCAACAAAGCACACCACCGACGCTAGCAAAGAAGTCCCCCCTAGGCCTACTCTACTTCGGCTCTAACAAAATCCCTGTATTGAACCGCAAAAACTGTCGTCCGATACTCCAAGAGCTCTACGTTGGGCAGCCAGTGTGGGGTCTCGGCGAGGCGAACGAGCGCATCGCCACGCCACGCTCTTGGAGTGAACGGACACAGCAGACGTGGTGGGTACAAAGCACACAACATACATACATTTATTAACTAATTTAGACGACGATATCGTCCGCCGAATGTTACAATTTTAATTAACATGCTACCATACAAACAACATAACGCAATGACACACTAAACACACAATAACATGATAAACACACACTAACACATACTCAAGGCGGCGTCGCCAACGCCTGATTTTTCACGTGGGACCCCGGCGCGAAGCCCGCGGTGCCGAGCACCGGGGACCCACGCTACAGACAACCGTTCCCGGCAGCCGCCACGCGCAGAAGAGGCTCGCTCAACTCTCGCCCACCACCAAGGCCTGCCTTCCGCCAGGGGCCACCGCCGGCGCTACCACTCTACCAACAGTGGTACTCAAAGCGAACACAACGCCATCTATCGCCCGGCGGTGGTCACCACCGAAATAAAGCCTTGGGGCGAGACACGTGCGCCACGCGGCGCAGACAACTTGACAGGGTGTTGTCAGCACCCCCACAACTTTCATCAACCGCACCTCTTTTCACCACACACGTTGCGGAACACCAGCCCGTGTCGCTTCTTGAAGCAGTCAAACCAGCCTTCCGATGCATTGAAGGAGTTAATGTTTATGGTCACCGCAAACTTCTCTGCTTGTGCGCAGATAAGGGGGCCGCTCAAGGGCAAACGCGCATCGCGCGAAACGGCAATCCAGCTCAACAGCGCTTGTTCTAGCTAGGGATGCGCTGCCGTTCGAAGCCTCTTCCTCAGGTCGCCAGACATGTCCTTGTCATACACTTGCATAATCTGCTCTTCGTTCTTCTTGTAAGTGCTCAGCGTGCTTTTCTTCACATTGAACTTTTCCATCACTTCTTTTTGAGATGCTCCCACTTGCAACGCCTTCAATATTTTTACCTTCGCAGCCAAATCCTTTGCTTTGTACTTCGCCCACTTCGCTGCGGGAGTTGGGGTGGTTGGGGTGGTTGGGGCCGTAGGAAACGGAGGGGGAGCCATCCCGGCATCGCTCGCGCGTTGGTCACGTGCTGGCTTGCACGGAGTAGACAACACAAACACGCACACTCACAAATGCACGGTGATAAAAACAAAATGAACACCGGCGAACTTTTCAAAAAACAGCAAACAGTAAGACTGCAGATGGTACTGATCACGTTGTGGTGTACACGTATCCCGAAGGTGTACGGCCACCAGCGTGGGTCCGGTCTTAGCGAGCCGCAGGGCACGCGTTAACCGTCGCCGTGGCGGGAAACACGATACTGCTCAAGTCGCAACACTTTATTGTGGCAACACCAAACGCAGTACAGCCCGTTGCAAATAGGCGCGGCGGGAAAGCAAGTAGGCTTATCCACGCCACGGGCACAAAGTACTACACAGGGGTGCCACGAGCACGTCTCCGCGGTAAAGGTGATCCACGGAGACACCGGGACAAAGGGCCCGGTTGCTCGAGCGAGGGCGAAGGCGCTCGCGTTGGCTTCGAAGGGAGACGGGTCGGCGTAGCTAGGCCACGCACTAGGACACCGTACTGCCCTTCGGCCGTGAGTACGCAGCGGGGCAACAAAAGGTGAGCGTTCGCATCGGGCGCGAGGCGCCGTCAGCGAAGTCCGACGAGCCCCGAGCGACGGAACTCGACGGACGGAAAAGAATGCGTGGCTCACCGTTTGAAGTCCCGGACTGTACTCCCCGCTCCCGACGCAGCGCGCGAAAACCTCTCGGGAGGTTCCCCGCGCGCGGCGCCACAGTCAACATCCGCTACCAGGTGAGGGAGTTAAACGTCACTCCGCCCTTCCCAGCGCGGCTGACGGCAAAGGAGGGCAGACATGTCGGGACATGAGAATGGCAGAAAAGGCGGGAAA